TGGTAATTTATTATGTGCTATTGTATTTCAATGTATTTTATTGTGTTGTAAGCCGCCCCGAGGCTTCGGCAAGGGGCGGCATAGAAATGTTATAATAATAATAATAATATGCAGAGTGATACTTAATGATTTTTCGAAAACAAGAAATAAGGTAATTCCCCAGGAAGGATGAGGGGGAAGGGCGCCATTTTCCACCTCGAAAAGCCATCTCAAATTACCTCACAGCTCGATCCCTCCCCAACATTCTAGCCGTTATTATTACATTTATTTTTTCCTTAGTGGCGAGGCTCCGCCCCTGGACTCAGTAAGTCCAAAAAACTCCAACCGCCACCAACGTCTGTGGCATTCTCCCCTTTTGATTGGCTCCGGTTGTTTTGTTTTGGGTTTTCTTGCCCTCTCCCCGCCTCTCTCTCGCCGCTCTGATTGGCCGCGCTGGCCCCCTTCCTGCGCGCGCGAGGGCGGCTGCTGATAAGTAGAAAGTGCTGCCGGTCTGCTTCTTGACTCCGCCTCTACCGAGCCTCTCCGCTGCTCCTCGGAGCGGGCCCCGCCCTCTGCCTGCTTCGCTGCCTGTCAGGGAAAGGCTCGGCCCGGCTTGGCCTGGCCTAGTTTGGCCGCCGCCGCCGCCGTCTGTATCTCGAGCAGCAAGGATAGAGGGCCTCCCCAAGTTAACCAGCGAGCCAGCGAGCCAGCGGCGTTGTCATGGGAACCCGCGACGACGAGTACGACTACCTCTTCAAAGGTAGGGGAAGGGGGGGGAGGGGTGCGTGTTGCAACCGAAGGGAGGGGTGGGGGTTATTTGGAGATTCCGGTTTGGCGGGAAGGGGGCTTCCTTCGTTTGGTGGAGCCTATGGAAGGAGGCATGGGAAGGGGGCTGTTGGAGGACAATCCCCCACTTAGTGGCTAACTAGGGACTTAGGCGGGGACTTGAGCATTTGCTGAATGCGGTCTAGAAAGGGGATGGGGCTTGGTGGGGGCCTAGGGACGGGGAGGTGCCTCAATATCCTCTCCCTGCGGGAGCTTGGGGAAGAGCATTGTTTGAGGATCCCTTAGCGTGAAGAGGGCCTTGTTGAGGGGGCTGTTTGTGGGCGCTTAGGAAGAGGGAAGGGCTTCACGCTAATGAGCCTTTGAGGAGCCTTCCCCCCTCACCTAAAGGTACCTTGGGATGGGAAGGGGTTTATCAGGAGCACTCTCCACTTGGTCTGGACCTGAGGACCAGGGGCCTTGAAGGCCTTTTCCTTTTCCTTTCTTTCCTGGGGAGATGGTTGAGAAGGGGATTAAGGGAAGGGTTTTATTAAGGGTTTTTGAGCACCTTCGGGGGTTGTGGGTGGGGTTCAGGAAGTGAGGGGTTTATACGAGGATGGTCCCAATTTGGTGGGGATCTGGGAAGGCGGTTGAGGTCCCTTCTTTGAGGGATCTCGGAGAAGAAGAACGAGGCTAGGGAAGTGCTTTCCTTTGGTTGGGGCCTGGGAAAGGGAATACGATGGGGAATGAGTGACTCGAGAAGAGGGATCTAGGAAGTGAAAGGGTATATAAAAAGATGAGTAGGGTTTTCAGAAAGAAATGAGGCAGGTGTCATGGCTAGCATGGATTTTTACATGGGTGCAGCATGGCTGTGGAAGCACAGGTGTCTTCAAAAGGGAGCATGGAGTGGTAAGGAAGAACTTTGGGTATTTGGGGAAGCAAGTAGCAGAGTCTTGGCTGGTAGATGGGGTATTTGGAGAAATGTATGTATGAAGGAAAAAATCTAGGGGCTGGAAGGAGTAATGGTTTTAGAAGGAGGTACTGATGTTCATAAAAGTACTGTTCTTGTTTGTTTGTCTTTCTGTTTAGCAGGACCCTGAGTTTACACTAGTAATGCATCAATAAGAACTTAACATCTCAGGTTGAAAAGGTGGGGATGTGGGGGGGGGGTCTTGTAACTGGGAGGCCCTCACAGCTTATGCATAGGCTGGGAGCAGAAGGGTCTTGTTTGAGGGACAGGTTTTTAAGTTGCTTTGGAAATGAGTTCTACAGGCATGTCATCTGTCATTCCTTTTTCTGTCATCTGACACCACAAGGCAATTCACAAATGATGGGTGGGTAGGAGCCAGGTGAACTGGGATGTGAGGTTCAGCTGTGTTTGGAGCTTAATGGATAACTTGACTTGGGGAAGGGCAGTGGGGTTAATGATGCTCTGGCATTAATAGCTCCGTGACATGTATGAAGCCATGTAGGAACAAGGACAGGGGTATTCTGAGGAAGGACACAGAACTGTATGTTTGGCCAAGTGGCTGTAGGCTTGGGTGCAGGGATGTTTGGTGTAAGGGGAAATGAGGTTCCTTGTTTCTCCAGAAGTTGAATGATTGATAGAAACATCTGTCTCATCACAAAAAGCTTTGTTTCGGAATGGATGAGTGCAGTAGATTTGCATGGCTTAACACACTTCTAGATAAACTGTGCTTTGTTCCTAGAGCTTAGGATGAGTATTTTCTTATTGGTTAATAGCACTGTGTTCCTTCCTTTGCTGGGATCTCTGCTCAGCAATGTGGGTTAGAACTGCACAATTAATGCTGCTTTTGCACTGTTTATACTAGCGTGGTTTGGTTGTATATATTCACTAAGTCTTTCTAGAGCTGGCAGCAGAGAACAGTGCTCAATGAATAGCAACTGGCAGGGAAAGCAGATAAATAAAAGAGCAATTACTTGCATTGGTGCATTTTGAGGCTGGGCACAATTTTCTCCAAGCTGGGCCCTCCTATGTGTTGGAGTGCAACTCCCAGCTTTTGCAGCCAGCATGTTAGGGATCTCAGCTCAATACATCTGAAGAGTGCCTGCTTGGAGAAAGAGTCAGGCATGCTAGTCACAGGCAGCAACAGCTGTCCAATCAGCATTTGGGCTGTAATTAATGTCATACACTTAACCTGCATGTTATCAACCCAATTGATCTGGAAATCAATAATCTTAGCAGTGTTTGGTTCCTGTGTTGATTGTACACAAGTCCCTTAAGTCAAGTTTCTTCAATGAAGTCTTAAACATCTGGAAGGTACCAGGTTGGGGAAAAATGCCGTAGGCCAACATTACCTATCAAGTCTGTTGGGAGTAAGCTCCTGCCCTGTTTTTGCTAACCCTGGAATGTTTTATTGCACACAAGTTGTATACAGACCTGTCTTAGTCCTGGAGTTGGCATTGGACTTGGCCAATCCTGGTTTATAACCCATAATCAAACATGCTTGTAGAGAAAAGTATGGCATGGGGGGTGCTACTAGAGAAAAGGCCTTTTTAGTGGTGGCACTTGGATTGAGGAGTGCCCTTTTCCCTGGTAAGGCTTGCTGCTCATGTATGCTCTAATCATTTTGGCGCAAGGTGAAGATTCTATTTTCCTTGGGTGCTGTTAGACTCAGTGTTTTCAGTCTTGCTACCGTAATATTTTTATGTTTGATGGTTGCTTATTAATTCAGTATATTACTTTGATGGGTTTTTATTCCATTTGATCATTAATATTTCTATGAATTTAGGCTTTTCTGTTAACTGCCCAGAGGACTGTTAATTGGGTAACATACCAATTGTGTAAGGGAAAGGGTCTCTGCAGCTCTAACTGGTGCAAAAGTAACCTATATCAAAGACAAATAATTGTAAAGTATTTCCCTCAGCAAGTGCTGAATATATATGATCACTTTTAATTAGTATATTTTAAGCAAGCCAGTAAATTTTAGAACTCAAAGAATAAAAAGTATAAAACTAAAGGAATAAAATGCAACACCAAACAAACAGTATATGAATATATATAAAATTTTTCTCAATAAAAAGTAAACGTAAACTACCAGAACAAACCCTACTCTTTCAAAGGCCTGGGGAAAAATGGTCTTTTCTGGTGCAGAAAAGATAACTTGGTGCAGAAAAAGGGCTGTTCAGTCTCCTTGAATTGGGTATTCCATACACTGGATTCTCTGTTGGCTTTTGGTTATATCACTGAGATAAGTGAACATCTGCCTCTCTTATGGAAAAACACTTTCCACAGGAAAAGTAGCTAAGGATCTTCTTCAATAATGTGTGTACCTGGTGAGTAGAGGTATAGATGGCTATGAAAGGCACATTCTTCCAAAAAATACTTCATCACTTAACCAGTCCCCTTTGGAACCACCAGTATGACACAATAATTGACACAAGCTCTGTGTTCAAGGGAAACCAAATTAAATGCAAGAAGGGCATCAAATTGAGGTTATGGCATGTGTTTTAAAGCACCTAAACTACAGCTAGCTTAGAAGCTGGTCAGCCTTGTTGTGAAAATTCCTTCCCCGCTTACTCTCGTGCGTGCTCACGCTCTCTCACACAAACACACATAGGTTACTCTGTTTTTATTTAAGACCATCTTACATGGCCACAAATTTAGTTATTTTCTACATGAAGAGTTTTTTCAGATAAGCAGCCCTCCATGTGAAACAGAGCTTGAAAACTTAATATGCAACTACTTATGAATAAATTGATGCATTGGTAATGTGCATGGCATTCCAAACCACAATAAACAACCAGCATATGTAACCAGTTTAGTAATACTTATTTCTTTATTGTACTTGCATCCTTCCCTTTTCCCATTGTGGAAGTCAAGGTGGCCGCATGCGGTTCCCTGGGGGCCTCCCTTTCAGGCTCAGGCCATCCCTAGAGCTGCTTCACGTCAACATGGGTGATGCCTCATGTGCCTTCAGACCACACTCTGGGCCTGAGTATGTAAATAATGTTTAAAATAGAAAATTGGTGAAAATGTGGTTAATGTTTATAAACTAGATGTATGATTGCTGGTTATTTGTTATAGTTCATTTAGTTATGTATCCGTTTTTATCTTGCTGCATCTCAAGCTCTTGCAATAGCACTATTAGTATGAGAGAATTATCTCTTACTACCTCACTCACCCACTCACTCACTCCTCTTCTTATCCAAAGCCAGTTTGAATGTAAAGGTCTTGTGTGCAAGATGCCTGAGTTTAGTTTTGGAGTTTCCAAAGAAGGGAATTCCAGAGGTGTTCTGTGGATGCTTGCAGTCCTGCATGGATAACCAAGCAGTTTTATTCAGTCTTAAAGGTTGTGACGAACAGATACCATGTCAGATATGCTGGGTGTATGTTTAATAGGCCATCACTACCAAGTCGAATTGTGCTGTGAAGAAAATATGGCATGGATGTGTGTCTATGGGAGCAAAGGGAATTAACAGAATGTGCTATTGGATGTAGAATTAGGCTTTTGAAGAATCATGGCTTTTATTTTCTTGAACAAGTTTCTAGTCTGATTAATTGTAAAATTATATTTGGAAGTATTTGGGCAATGCTTGGTGAAGTCTGTGGTTAAACTGATTAAGATTAGAAATGTTTGAGATTGGGGAATGTAGTCCCTTGCATGAGTCACTACCTTTTCCTCAAGACTTCTGGAAACCAGAGAAAATACATAAAAATGCAGAACCACACAAAGTACACATTTCATAGAATTTGGGACTGCTTCATTGAGGAGTGTGTTTAACTTTTTTGAGTGCACATAATTCCAGCAGTAGGGAGTTGATGCACCATTGTATCGACAGGGATGCACCAATGATGCATCCCTGTCAGAAGGCCAGAATTGCTTGAATCAGTCCATAAACTCCTGTTGCTTTCAAGTGCTGTGAAGTCATCTTGGACTTTTGGCAATGCTATGAATGAAAACTGCCCAAAATGTCCGTGACAGCTCCATTCAGCAATTCCAAGTTCAAGGCTGTGGCTTCCTTTATGGAATCAATCCAACTCATATTTAGTCCTCCATGGACTCCTGTTAGAAGCAATTTGCTTCATCTTTTGCCACAGATCCTTCCTGTACAATATCCTGTTGCTTGTAACCATTAGTGCTTTATATGGGGTGGGAAAGGAGTTTCCTTTGAATGAGGAGAATATTCTAATCGAAGAATAGCTTTGGCCAATTTAACAAGTAGATTTATGGTGTGGTGTTACAATGTTACAATGTTTTCTTAATGGCACATTGTTAAGGACTGTTGCTGTTCTGGCTGTCCTTGCATTTTGTACAGGATCTGGTGTTGTGCTTCAGTCTGTTTGCCTTAACTGCACTTTGTGAATAAGGAAGACCAGGAGGGGATAGTGACAACAGTGTAATGCACTAGGATTGTGAAAAGTGTTTCTGGGGACTCAGCCTATCCTGAGAAAGGGAAGAAAAGAACTACAGCAAGTTTTTTAGGGAGCAGTTGGAGGGGCCAAATTCAAAACAGTGAAGATGTTTGGCAAGGTGAAAATGGCTGAGCATGTTAGAAGGTGCTCCCTTGCAAGAGAAGCAGCCAGGCCAGGAGTGAAAGGTTTTCTGGGCAGCTGTTGGCTTGCCTGGCTGCTGGGCCAGCCCTGCATTAGAGCATGTAATGCATCAGGTCTCACCAGGGAGTCCTGCCGCGCTTATGAATTGTTGACTGCACAGCAGGCTCCAGGAGGACAGCTTGGCCGTTCATTTACTAGCCTAGTGTGCGTTGTTTGCCTGCATAGACGCAGTGACTTTGCCGTCCCTGCGGAGATGATACTGTTACTCTCCCTGGGGGCAGCAAAGCCTCTGATCCCTGCAGTGCCTGTCTGCCTGACTTGTGTGCACAAAACCATGGAGAATACATGCTGACAGTGCTATATTGTCTTTTTTCTTCTTCCAGTTGTGCTAATTGGAGACTCTGGGGTGGGGAAGAGCAATCTCCTGTCCCGCTTCACCCGCAATGAATTCAACTTGGAAAGCAAAAGCACCATAGGTGTGGAGTTTGCCACCCGAAGCATTCAAGTAGATGCGAAGACAATAAAGGCGCAAATCTGGGACACTGCGGGCCAGGAGCGATACCGGGCCATCACCTCCGCGTAAGCCTTCATGCTTTCCTTTATGATCGGTGGGGCTGGATGGATAGTAGCATGCCCCCTAAGTTTCTCGGAAAAATATTGGGCACCTGGGCCTTATTTTATACCCTGGCCTTATTTATCTGTCAGTATGCCACTTAATAAAATGCAGATTAGCCAACTGTAATATCCAGGGTGTTCAGTTTTGCTCTGTAAAATTTAAAGTGCTCGTATGGATCACAGGCATTCTGAAGGGTGAGGATGTGCAAATCAACAGACTGTAGGATCAAGAAATGCAGAGTGATGTGAAGGAGGATTGCTTTTTCGGCTGATCATGGGAGTTTGGCTAGTTTGGATGGGAGGAATCTGAATTTTGTCTTTCTCTACACTCTTTTTCAGACCTTAGTGCTAGTGTTGGTTTGTATATCCCATAATGGGAAGAACATGGGAAATTGCCTTATCCTGAATAAGGCCTTCTTCATCCAGCTTGATAGGTGTCACTGTTGGGTAACCTGTGATTCTGTAGATACAGTTGGACTTCCAATTCTCATTAGCTCCAGTCAGCATTGCTGCTGGTCAGGGCTGATGGGAAACTACAGTCCAACAACATCTGGAAGGCCACAGATACCCCACTTTGGTATGGTGTCTCATTATTTTCTAGTGTTTTGCACAGGAGTCTTTCCTATCCCTACCTGGAAAAGCCAAAATTTAATTTGGGACCTCCTACATGCAAAAAAGGTGCTATACTATGGAGTTATGGCATCTTCCCTAGGAGTTGGGATCTGGAGGGTTACCAGGTTTGGGGAAGGCAACCTTGGACCTGGTTACCAGATGTGTGCACTCTTGAAACCCTGAACAGTTTAGCATCCAAGAGTAAGGAATGGATGCTCTTCAAAGAATAATAAGCAAACTGCTCCTAGCAGGTGACCTGAGTGAAGGCTTAAGTTCTTGGGCCTCTTTTGTCCATGTACTCCTGTCCACCACTGTGTGACCATGTGTAGAACTATGCTTTGTCCTTAAAACTTGCATGAACAGTACAGATGCAGAACAACCATCCCTTCCTGAACAAATCCCTCTGAAAGCACCCGAAGAAGCCAGTATGCTGGTGTGCTTTTGATGATACATATTCCAGTAATGGAATTTACATTTCTCCTTTGGGCCTCTGTCCCAAATGCTTTTAACTGGGTTGCTGCAACCTCTGGAACTTAAACTGCAGAATCCTTTACAATAAGACGATTTCAAACCAAATCTTTAGAAGTGTATTCACTTAAATCTAGTTATTAAAAACTATTACAGTGACTTCCAGCTCTTTTATCGAAGTTTCTTTTGTGGGTGGGGGAGGGGGTGTGAATCCTTTTTGAGAGAGGGAAGGAGAAATGCATTTAAGAAGTTTTTAAAAAAAATATTGTAAGAAAGCTCCCACTCTTGCATCTTCACTGTTGTCCTGTCTTGACAGGTGTCATATGGGGCTTCCAAGAGTCTGCTGTTCCTTTCCCATTGATGTAACAGTTTTTGTAAAGGGGACTTTATAGAAATAAAGCCTTAGAATGCCAGTATTCTGTGAAATATTAATCCTTATAATATTAGATGCAAGACAACTTGTAGATTGTGCAATCAAATGTTTATGTCAAAAATATTGTGTAAATCTCTTCCCCAGTTTGAGTAATGCCTGTGAAACAATTTCAGCTATTACCGTGGGGCTGTTGGAGCACTCCTGGTTTATGACATTGCCAAGCATCTGACGTATGAGAATGTGGAGCGCTGGCTGAAGGAGCTCCGGGATCATGCAGATAACAACATTGTCATTATGCTGGTGGGAAACAAGAGTGACTTGCGTCACTTGAGGGCTGTGCCCACGGATGAGGCCCGCGCTTTTGCAGGTTTGGCTGTTATTACATTTTGGATATTGACTTTATGGTTTAGTGCTTGTAAGAGGGTTGGTTATGCTCTCTGAAGTGCTGAGGGCTTTGCAAGCTTGGAGGAAGCAAGGAGAAAAAGAGTATGCCGCAGAAAAGCTTTTTACTATTTCATTTTCATACTGCCGTGTAGCTGAAGCTCTCTGTGTGGTTTACAACAAAGTATGCTAGAGGGGTATGTTTAGGTATGCTGCTGGGGGATTAGCATGACCTTATGAAGCATTAGTGTTGTCAATGGTACCACTAAGTCTAGAACAAGTCCACGGGGCCTAAAAGGCCACTGGATTTGTTATATGTGGCAAATGGTGGTCATCAGAAAGATGACCCAGGCATGAGAGGCTGAAGGCTTTAGTCAGGGAAGGTGCACTAAATGTAGTAATAAACCTTGATATAAATTTTGAACAAAAGTGTATATGTTAGTTATAAGAACCTGTGGTTAGACAGTATCAGACTGGAAGGACTTCGGTTCAAATCCAGTTTAACTGAATTTGAGCTGAGAATGACTGTCCCCCAGTTTACCTAAGTGTTTCTTGAATGAAGTGGGTGTGTGTCTGTATAAATAAAGGGAATGAAGTACACTGAGGAAGATCAAAATAAAAATGGCATGATTTTAATAATAAAGAGACTGGTATTCATCTCTATATATTTCAGATTTAGGGATATGGGTAGCTGAGGCTTCAACATGATCTTAAGTTATGGCTGTGATTTTTTCAATCTTTATGAATAATATTCATAGCCCATAAAGTTCTGTTGGTGGCTTACAATAAAAAAGCATTATGAACATTAGGTAGAAACCACTGATCTTGAAAGTGTCTGAGTCTCCAATGCCTGCTGGAGTGCTGCAAGCAAAGAAGGAGGCATGGTAGTGGTTGTTTTTGCCTCTGTTCTTGTTTGTTCATTTTCATTTAAATGGGCCACTGTGCTGGTAGAGCAGAGGTGTGCCGTGGCTGGAAGGTCCATATTCTGGCCTTTTCTCTTGTTCACTGCACTGCAACATCCTCTGTAGCAGCCTTTAGGAACTCAGAAAGCAGCTGGTGCCCTTGTTTCCATGGTGGCTATGGGGGGTGTCCTCTAATGCCTCTCCTGAAATTGGTGTACAGCTTTGAGAGGCGCACTGCAATAACTCACACTCCAGGGACATAGGATGGTCCTCTAAAATACAGAACAGCACTAAATACAGTATAGACCAGAATCTGAAAATTTTAGTGCCTTTTGATTTCTTTATGGGGTGTGGATGGTTGGGGAGTGAGAAGCATCTAATCACTGTTGCTAGTGGTCTTATGACCTTGGATGAAAGAGCCAGGTGTACATTAAAAAAAGAGAAAAATCCTTTAGTGACTTCTCTTCCACCTTTTTGCAGAAAAAAACAACCTCTCATTCATTGAAACTTCAGCACTTGACTCAACAAATGTAGAAGAAGCCTTCAAGAACATTCTTACAGGTAAAATTTCAGTTCGGATTATTGTGCCTGGTATGCAACAGGAACAGAACAGACATTCTTCTGTAGGTTTTAACTATGGTTGCTGTTCTGTGTGTTGTGGTGATGAGCATTATGGACTAGTATTTCTATCAGCTTTTTAGGTCGTACATGTTTATAGCAAGATCTTATGGTAGTCTATCTATCTAAAACATTTTTATGCCGCCCCCATCGCAACAAAGCCTTGGGGCGGCTCACAACAAGAACAGAATATACAAATATAACAAATTATGCAATACAAATATTAAAACCTGGTGCATCTCAGCTTAAAAGATTTAAAGTCCTATAAATAACCAATAAATTAACAATTAAAATAAGTTTTAAATAAAAAGGTCTTAGCCTGGCGCCGAAAAACAAATAACGACAGCGCCAGGCGGACCTCTCGGGAGCACATTCCATAGATAGGGTGCCAGTGCAGAGAAAGCCCTCCTCCGGGTACTCACCCTCCTAATATCATTCACAGAGGGTTCCCGGAGAAGGGCATCTGTTGCTGTTCTCAAGGGGCGGGAGGACATATATGGACTCAAGCGTTCCTTTAGATACCCAGGACCCAAGCCGTTAAGCTCATCAATGTGGGGCAGTAATTTTTCCAGACTTTCTTCTTGTGTTTTGTAAGATTATTGGTAACAATGAATTGGTGCTGATTGCGAATCTAATGCCGGGCAATTTTCACTTGCAGTTTGTAGATGTGTGGGTACTCGCATATCATGTGTGCCTTTTCGGGTTGCTAACCTTTTGCTTGTGTTGTGTAAATCTAAGCCAGAACAAAGTTCATCCTATTGTCTTTACATATTTAGAAGCATTCTAATACCTTTTTATTTGCCCATCATTTTAAATGTTAGGAATTTTAATCAGGTTTTAACTTCACAGTTGCTTTTTGGTTTTTGATTTTGCTTCTATTTTTGATTTTGATTTTTCTTAATTTGTAAAATGTTTTTGGTTTTATGTGCATATTTAACTATTTATTGTTAATATGTTGGATTGTTTGGTTTGATTTTTGTAAGCTGCCCTGAGACGCTTTTGTGTATAGGGCAGGGTATAAATATAAATAAATAACATCTACAAGACATTTAATCACATTAAATTGTGCTTTGATTTTTCCCCTCAACTGTTTGAAATTAAATTGTGCTCTGGGGCAAAGAATGGGCAGGGTATTCTAGATACCCTGTGGCTTAAGTGTGGCTTCTAGATCAGATAAGTGTGGCTTCTAGATCAAGAGAGGTATTACTACCATTCTACATGACTCTGGTGCACCCGCAACTGGAGTATTGTGCTCAGTTCTGGGCCCCTCATTACAGGAAGGATATGGCCAGGTTGGAGTCAGTGCAGCGCAGGGCCACAAGGTTGGTGGCCGGTTTGCAGGGGATGCCGTATGAGGCGAAACTGAGGGAACTGGGTCTCTTCAGCCTGGAGGAGACTCAGAGAGGATCTGTTGGTGACATACAGGTATGTGAGGGGGTGCCATGCAGAGGTGGGTAGAGGCCTGTTCTCCCCTGCAGAGGAAGGCAGAACACGCTCCAATGGAGCAAAGCTCAGGGAGCCAAGGTTCCATTTGGATGCCAGGAAGCACTTCCTGACAGTCAGGACCCCGAGGGTGTGGAATGGGCTTCCATGAGAGGTCGTTGAGGCCCCATCAGTGCGGGTGTTCAAAGATAGGCTGAACATGCACATGGTGGGCATGTCGTGAGCGGAGCCGGCTGGTGCCGGAGGTCAGACTAGATGGCCCGGGAGGCTCCTTCTGACTCACTCTGTTTCTGTTTCTATTTTCTTTGGAGCTTTGTTTACTAAATATAGGTCAAATAAAAATGCCAAATTTTATCACACTCTACAGCATGGGTCCTCAAACTATGGCCAGCGGGCTGTATCCGGCCAGCCATGACCATTTATCCGGCCTACCATAAAGGTTTTGGATTTGCCGTGTGCGCAGCGAGGCGCCAGCTTGCTTGCAAGATCGTTTTGGACTCGCTCGGAGAAAATGATCTCTGTGCACGCATGCCTCCACCTGCATTGCCTTGGTGGCCCGTGCCCATTGTCAGCACCTTTCAACTGGCCCCCTGTTCAAAAAGTTTGAGAACTCTCGCTCTACAGCATCAGATTACCTTAATTTACATAGGGTTCTCTAATTTGAAATTTTGTGGAAAATCCATATCACTGTTTAAGATACATGTAGATTGCCCTGTTTCCCAGAAGATATTCGTGTTTCCACTAGTTACCTTCTGTTGTTGCTGGGTGACTGTCTTGTGTAAAGGAATTGGGGGTTTGGTTGAAGAAAGGCCTTGTCTGGAATTTTATGTTCCTAGTAAGTTACTTGACAAGAAGCTATGGGATTTAGCTGTGTACTTACTGGGAATACCTGGCCACTCCCAGTCTCTCATGTTTTATGAAGCAAAATGAGAATCATGCAGCATGCACCCCCAGGTTTATCTGTGTGTCCAAAGAAATAAAGGAAAGGGATACTGTAAATCTTAAGTTCCTATAACTTTTGAAGCAGCTCTTGTTGATGTGGATAATCCCTGGTATGTAGGTGACATACATGTTTTGTATCTCTGGGCTACCTGCAAACTAAGATAGCTTGCATTCTGAAAGACCTGTGGGTTCCCAGTAATGGCTGATGAGCTTCTGAGGACTGCGTGTATTATGGTTGCTGTAAGAGCATTTTTTAATTTATTGAAAACATTTGTATTCCACCCAATTGTGCCACAAGCACCTCTGGGCAGCTAACAATTACAAGATAAAAACACAATAAAAACACAACAAAACCAATAACACATTAAAATAAAATAAAATACAAGCAGAAAATACAAAACGAAGGTCTTATGGCATTAGTTATTAAAATATTTTTTTAAAAATGAAGGTCTTTGTCTGGAGCCGAAAAGAAAGCAAGGAGGCGCCAGACAAATATTCTTGGAGAGCATTCCAGATACGGGGAGCAGCTGCAGAAAAGGCCCTCCTCCTAGTGACCATCCCTCTTACTTAAGGGATGGCTCACACAGGAAGACCCCCTGCATAGATCTCAAAGGCTGGGTAGGCAAATAGGGGTGCAGGCACTCCCTAAGAGAGGCAGGGCCTAAGCCTTGTGAGTGTTCTAGGACTGTTCTCTGTTCACATGGGGTCGAAGCAATGGCTACGAGCCATGACCAGTACACTGTGTGAATAAATCGTCACACACTTAGTGGAGTTCTCTGCAGACCTGTTGATTTGGGAAAGGGCTCCATAGGGGTGGAGTGGGGTGGGGTGTGTGTAGAGATTACGGAACTTAACACTCCAGCCTTGTAGGGTGGGCACGGAGGTAAACCTCCCTGTTACAGTAAAATTGGAAGATAGTCCCACTGGGCCTCACACCTTGCTTGTTTGAACCTGCATTCAAAGTAGCCATTTGGTTGCCATCTGAGGAGTTAAACAGCATGGGGAAAACTGTTCAAAGTGGCTGCTGAATTGGCCATAAATAATGTTAGTGCCACTTCTAGCTAGGGTGGGATAGAAGAGCAGAAATCCAAATTGCTCAGCATTTGTACTGTACAGTCCTGAGGACTTTCAGGATTTGTGCTGTTCTTTCCTTTGTTCCATTGATATGGGTGGGACGGGGATACTACTTTCCTAGAGGAAAAAGCCTTGTCTGTATTGAGCTCCTTCTGGTCTTCCCTCTGCAGAGATCTACCGCATTGTGTCACAGAAGCAGATTGCAGACCGATCTGCACATGATGAGTCTCCTGGCAACAATGTAGTGGACATCAGTGTGCCCCCCACCACCGACGGACAGAAATCGAACAAACTCCAGTGTTGCCAGAATCTGTGACCCCCCCCTGGGGGGGGCAGCCAATTGCCTCACTCTGCCTGTGCTTCAGTTGGAAACTTGTGTGCACTTCTCCAGCATCTGTCATGTCATCCAGTGACTTGTTTCGTTTCTTCCATGTACTCCATGTTCCTCCCATCTTAGACCATTGTCCATAAGGCTAACATCCCTTTACATCTGAATCCTTTTGAATATGATTATTTTGGCTTTGAAAGATAAGCATTTGAGCTGGCAAATTATTATAATGTTTTGTTTTTGAGTATGATTGAACATCTGCTGGACATTAATAGTCCTGCAATATTTGTTAACTTAATTTTCTTTTTCTCGTTTGAGTTTTGTATTTGTGTGTTTTGCTTGTTGGGAATGGGACGGATATAGATATTTTTGTTCAAGCAGCAGAAGGAATCACTGCACTTGAGAGGTAAGGGAGGAGAGTTCATTTCCAGTCAGGCACAAGAGAAATTTTAAGCCAAGAAATATTTCTGGCTTGTTGGAAACATGCCATGATCTTAGTTCTTGTTTGTGCCTGAAATACGTGGAAGAAACCCTTTTACTATCACTGGTTCTTTGTCTTCTCCCTTGCCTCTTTCGCCCCATTCTAATGCTGAGTTGGTCTCACTGTATACTTTTCACTGCTTTTTGCCCAAGAAGTCTTTGCTCTCATTTCTCCTCCCTCAGTTTCTGTTCTGGAAGAAAGAAGGGTATCCCTGCACATCATTTCCAGCCCCCCTCAGCTTTTGGCATGTGCAGGTCACATGAAGTGGCTTCTAGTGCTTTTATTTCTGGCTTTATGTCAATTGGTCTAACAATGAAATTCTAGTTTAATGGCTTGATTAGAGCCACTTTGTGATCTGTGGATATTGCGCATCTTCACCTGTGCACAGTAGAAAAATCCTTCAGGTCTCTCCCAGGTTCTGTCTCTGCATGTTGCTTTATTGCCCAGTCTTTCTTGTCTGCCTACCCCCCCCCACACACACACACAGCCCCCCACACACCTTGGAATGTGCGTGAAGCAATATTTTCATGCCATGTACATAACTTGCACTGGTAAGGTTATTTGAATGAATAGTTGTAGAAAACCAGATCCTTGATTATGATAACTTCCTTTTTGTAACACTTGAGCATAACCATAGCATCTTAGGATTTTTGTTATTTCCTTAAAGGTCTGTAAAACAAAGCAAATTCTCTGTGCTTCCACCAGCACTTCCCCCCACCCGCCATGCTGCCTTGTTCATGTCCTGCTTTCCCAAGGTTTTATGTTTTTCTAAATGATTGTACTACTCAATACATGATGTACAAGAAGCCTGACATCAGCAGGGCTAAGCACCACCAAAACTTAAACAGTTGGCTGGAAGAAGGATGATTTGTCTTTGCATCCTCTTTTATGAAATGTCTTAGTGGCAGGTGGATCTCCTCACCTTTGACTGGTCTTTGTTGGGTTTTTGAAGCATTGTGGGCTGGGGATGCCTGAATAGTGGTGATGGAGCAGTTGGGGTTGGGGAGTCAGCTGTTTGCCCAAGAATGCCACTCTGGGGTGATTTTGATGTCTGGTTTATGGCTGCTGGATTCTGCCCTGCTGGTAGGGTTGGCATGTGGTAGTGGTCATGGGGGTGGGGTGAACACTGCCTCTGTACCTGCTGCTCTCTTGGTTGTGTTAAAATACTTAGACGTTACACAGTTTTCTCATCGTTCTGATTCTTGTCAGGCGTCTTGCACAACACATGCACTTTCAACCAGCTGAGCAAGTTTAACCCCACCAACCCAGTGACTGCCTGTCCATTGGGAAGTTTCTTAGGTCTGCTGAGGAACACCCCTGCTGGTAGGCTGAGGTGGTAGGAAACTGACGTCTTGCTGCTCGCCGATCAGGTTCTGAACCAAAAGACAGCCTTTTTCTCTGGTATTTGTGGCTGACTTTTGAAGACCTGGCTGCTGAGTCACAGTGCATGTGAGAAAACAGAGGACTGTTCTGGAATCTGGCCTCTCTGGTGGAAAAGAATGAGAGTTCTTTTGCCCAAGCCACAGAGCCCTTGCAAGTCTCGGCCTGCAGATGGGGGGGGGGGGGTCACTGTTTTTCTGAACCCTCTCATGGAGTCAGCTTGGGAGCATGGGAGGTTGAATATCTCGGGTTGCTCTGACCTTCCCAGTCATGTCTGGTAGCCAGTGCCGTCTCTTTGGGCAGCTCCTTGTCTTGCTGTGTGAGGCATTTCTAGCTGGCAAAAGATTGTGGCAGTTGATGTCTCAACATTTTCCTTCTGCTGTTCCTTTCCGTTTGCTGTCCTTTGGCCTAGCCTGGCCTCAGTGCCAATGCTGTCTTGCCTAATGTGGCAGCTTTAGCATAATGGGCAGGGGCAAGTGACTGCCATTTGGCTATGCATATGGCAGATGCAGCCTCACACACCTTGGGAGAATTGGGTCCAGAGTGGCTTTGAGGCACCTTCAGCATTAAGAGAAGGACCCAAGTTCACCAGCTCCTGCTATCTCACATCTGCGTGGCTAGGCTTGGCTCTTCACTTGAGAGTTATATATTACGGGGGAAGAGAGGTAGTGTGCAATTGAAGGATTTCAAGTTTTTTGGACACTGATTTCCACCTTACATTGAACTTAACAGCCTTTTCACAATATGGGAGAAGACTCTCTGGACTGGTGAGTGGATTGGCCTTTAACTGCAGCTTGGCTTTGCATAAGACCAGGGTGTCCCACAGGGTGTACTTGAGTGCTCTGGAAATACTTCCATGCACTGTTAGAATGGAAGGGACAAGAAGATGGCATTTCAAGAAATGGTCACTTAATGTCCTGAGCAGTTGCATAAAGAGAGTGAGCTAAGCTACTTGTGAACACTACATGTACCTCTGTATTTTTTAAAAAAATAAAACCCATAACAGCACATTTTCCTGCTGTGGGCAGTAGTCTTGTTTAAACTTAGTACAGGGGCCTATAGTTGCTGCTGCACATCTGTGTTTTGACTTGGCTTGATTCTTCTGTTCTCTCCCAACCCCTTTCACAAAACTTGAAAATTCTCTGTAGTGTATTATTCTTATACTAGTGGAACCTCCAGGCCTAGAGAAAAGGGCAAAACCAAACCTGGAGGAATAGGGATGCTAAAATGATCCTTGGCTGCAGGAACAGACATCCTGAAGTTCCTGTTCCACCATGCCAAGAGAGAAAGGCTTGTAGAGATGGGATATGAAACCTTTCCAGCACCCACAAGCATTTCAAGGGAACAAAATCACTGAAGAGGCCAATGTAGGGTCTCTCACATGGAGGCACAAATAGAAGTTCTAACACAAGTGCCACAGGTTGTGGAGCAAACCTCCAGAAGAGCTATAAAGCCCCTGCCTACCACATTCCTACTGCTTACTCGCATCAGTGCTAGGGCTAGTAAACCCTCTGCAAGTTGCAGGATGCCTTTGGACTGAACCATTGGCTTACTGGGGGAGGAGGTTCCCCCCTTGCTTTCTGCTGACTCTTCTGTTAAGTGCAATTCCCCTTGTAAATATTCATTTTGATTTTTGTGCATGGTTATTATGTACTGTGGATATATAAAGATTGCCAAACCACATGGTGCATCTGTGTGTGTGTGCTTGTTTTTACTCTAACTGGAGCTCTGTTAGCTGCGATTTTGCAGAAAAACATCAACGTACAGTGGAAAGCACAGAATTCAGTTACCTGAACATCTTGACTGCTTTTTCTTAATAAAACACACTTCTAGCTATTCTGGCAATGATCATGTATTTTGAATGGGTGGGCAATGCCTGCTTAAGTGCCATAGTAACAGTGATTCTGTGGCATTTCCATCAATTATGAGACTTTGGTACCTTGATTAATTGGGAATTGGGGTACATTTGCTGTGCCTGACAGGAATGGAAAAGCATTGGCTGTGCACTATAATCCTGCAACACATAAGCACACTTTAAAGATGAAACACAAGTGAAGTTTGTTTTAAAAGTTGTCTGGCATTAAGTGCTGTAGACACTTGCAGGTATCTGGGAAAGGCGGAAAGCCTGTTCCTGCAGGATGGAACCCTATTATACACAGTGAGATGGTATGATCCAATGTTTACTTACAAGCCTGATTACTCTGGTGCTGATGAATCAAGTGCCATGAAATGGAACAAACTGGTGCTTCTGGTTATAAATTACACGGCATCAATGAAAATGCAAGGGTAAAATGATGGAGGCTGTGTAGTCCTGACCTTACAACATGGAAATATGTCCACTATAGCAATTCTAAAGTAAAATTTTGTGCCATCAAAATTTAAAGACTGGTCTAAAATTTAGATCAAAAGCAAGTGGGGTTACTAGTATTGGTTGCACCAGTGTTTTAGCAGGGCAACAGCTGTGGTCTGAGATGAAGCTCCTATTTTTGAAGTCTTGCTAGGTGCCTTCCAAGTCATCTCCCTTATGGCAGCCCTCCAACACATCCTTTGCTGAGTTCTTAACAATTGAAGACTGTGGCTTCCTTTATGGAATCTGTCTCATATTTGATCTTCCTTCTATCTTGGATCTTTCCTCACATAATTGTACTCCCTGACTTGATTGAATGTCTGCATCCTCCTCCCACATTCCTCTCCGAGACTAGAGCTTGCACACTGTTTTGTGACCTCATAAAGGAATTAGCCTGATGGGGAGCTTGAGGTTTTCTTACTGTGGACATGGCTACTTTGGCATCTGGTATAAGCCCAATCATGTTCTATAACTGAACTTGCTCTGTGTTGCTTCTGGCCTAAAGGGCTGTTAAACCCAAATGTAGTGCTTTACTCCCAAGTTACTGCATGCCTTTTGAAATCCTTGCCATCAGAAATTAAGCAAGGACCAACTTTCTTGGGTTTTCTGTGCTCTGGAAAAATACCTTTTCCTGCCAACATTGCCAGCCAGGTAATTGATCCTCTCCATGTCACTGAAATTTTTTAAGTGATTTATATTGTTAGACATCCTTTTTTACAAGCTTCCAAGTCTGGATTAAACATGTAAGAACAATTTACTTTCTGTGTAGTTCTGAAAACAAAGCTTAAACACCATAAACGCCATGTAAAGCCCTTCAAAAAGCTTAAAATAGTAATAACGAATGTTAGGAATCAGTAGTTCAACAAGAAAAAGGAAATCCTCCACACAACTTAAAAAAACAGAATGGCAAAATATCTCCACAAGCTGCTTCCTGCTGTTTGTTTCCACAATCTAAGCTGCACCGAGGGCTTCCTTAAAAATAACCTCGAAACAGGAAACCAAACATGGCTTAATCGTGGCTTTGCTGTTATCCATGAAAAGAACCAAGCCTAGAAGGCTAATGACGAACTTCTTCGAAGATTTTTTTGCTTGTTTTCCACTTCGCTTCCCCGTCCTGAGCCCTTAATCCTGACACAGAGCCAGCGGGGCGTGGCTACTGCTTTGACAGACCACGCCCTTCCTCGCTTTACTTGTCTTCCCTCCGCCCGAGTCCAAGGCTCCGATTGGCCAGTCGTCTTCATGACCGTTACGGCTCGCGCCGCTGCTACGCGTGCGCGAGTTCCGTCTCCCTCCTTGCGAAGAAGGCGGGCACTCCTTCACTTTCATGCCGCCGATTGGCTGCCTCCGGAAGGTTCTCTGTCCTGATTGGCCAAGCGGAGAGCTACGAGTGGGCGCCCCCCACATTTCCAGTCAGGTGCGCAGCTCCCGTGGACTCGGCTGACAGAGGCAGCCGGAGGCGGCCGCAGGAGCGGCCTCCCTCCTCCTGCTCCCCACGGTCCTCCCGGGAAGATGGGGCGGACCGGGCCCCGGCGTTGACGGACGGACGACGAGCGGAAGGGCGGGGTTCTAGCGGAAGGGGCGGGGCGCAGGTAACGAAGGGGAGACGAAGGGGCGGGGCTTGGCCATTGAGTGACAGGCGCTGCAGAAAGAACGGAGGGGGCGGGAGGGCACTGGCAGGTGTGGGGAAGGGGTGCGAAGGGCCTGCCTCGAGGGAGCCCGGTATCCTGGCCTGCACGGCCCAATGTCCCTCTTCCAGCAGGGGACAGCTAGGGGAAGAAGCCCACGCACGGGTTCCCACCCCTGTGTTCATGGCTAGATGGCCTCTGGAGCTCCCCTCCGCTCGCCGTTCATCTCACGAGCCTGCGGGGGCCACTGGTAGCCTTGAAGGGGCAGCCGGACTCCAGCCCCACGCTCCCTCCGTCAGGCTGCGTTGCCAGCTGGCAGCATCTGGAGGGTACCTCCCCTAGCTGGAATGTGCCACCGAAACCTCTGCTCGAAATCGAACTCGGTCCTGCTGTTTGTAAGCTTTCAGAGCAAATAAGGATTGAGGCAGAACCACGGAGCATGTTTGTAAATACCTTTTATTGCTGAATGCATAGGGTACACGATGAATTGGAATATACTCTAGTACCTGATCAGCGGGTTGCTTCGTTGGCGTTTATTTTAGAAGGAAACAAAACCGGATGCTTCAAGTATGTTGAGTGCCATTATACCTTTTCAGTAGGATTTGATCCAAATTATTAGAGATATGATGTGGTTAGTTTTTATTTATTTCCTGCCTTTTCTCCTTCCAAGGAACTCAAAGTGACTTTTTTTCCCCTCAATTTTATCCTCAAAAATAACCCTGTGAGGTAGGTTAGGCTGAGACTCTGTGTCTGGCCCAAAGTTGCCCAGGGAGCTCTCCATGTCTGAGTGGGTGCTAGAACTTAGTTCTTCTGAGTTCCAGTCCCACACTCTTAACCACAACACCACATTGACTCTCAACACTTTAATGCATCTCTTATTCATATGTTTAAGCAGTATCCAAGGGCCGTTTCTTTTTGTGGGGCGATGATAATAGGGATAAGCTTTGTGACAGAAAGATCTTTAATATTTACAGATATGCATGTTGTTTTTAACTCACCTCTTGAAACTCAAGATCTGTTTAAGTTGATTTTATGCACCCTTTTGACAGCTAAAAAAACTAATATTACACTGGAAATACAAATGGCCATCCAAAATAACCCATTTCCAAGGGTCAAGTTGCGTTGTTGAGATAACAGACTGCATTTCACTCCCCATCAACAAACCATATGTTGCCTCTCTTCGTTGTTCATGCTCAAATCATGGCTTCATAGTGCAGCTGAGCTCTGACAACAGAGTAACCCCAGGGTTCAGTGACAACTCATATTCATCCCTTGGTTATGAGACAGTGTGCTGTCTATCCTGCTGCTACAACTGGGCCTTTGTGCAGAACCATAGTTATATCTTTTAAGGGGGCCAAGGCAGAACACTTGCTTTGCATGCAGTGCTTGCCATGTCCGGTCCAGCCAGGAAAGGCTCTTGCTTGAAATTCTAAAGAGCACTTGTTGTCCACTGGCACTGACAATACTGGCTGCCCAATAATGGCCCAAGCCTCTGACTCAGTGTAAGTGATGTCCTGATGTTTCTGTATAACCCAGTATCCAAGAAGACGAAGACCCCAAACAAAAGCTGGAGTCAATGGCTGTTCCTTTCTTCCTGGTGTTTGTGGGAACAGCCAAAGATCCATGCTTGGTCATGTGCAAAGGTTTATCTCATCCAATGTCATCTTCCCACTGTGGAGGCCCCGACAGGAAGTCAGCAACAGGAAATTTGTGCAACAGCACCCTTCTGTGTGCATTTCTCTGCAACAGGTATTGGGAAACATATTGCCTTGGGTAACAAGTGTATGTATGTAGATTTTCCATTCTACACTAGAAAATTCTACACTAGTTCCAACTCAGAGCACAATCCTGTGCTTGTTTAGGCAGAAAAAACTAGCAGAGAATGCTGGGATGTGTAGAAGTTTGATTCATCTGGGACTTTTTCCTATCTACCGGAGCACAGGCTTGTTCCTTTTAACATTTTGGCTAAAGGATGGTGATAGACCAATTTGTCCTCATCAGTGGACTTGTGATTGGTTTGTTTGTATGTATTAAATGTATCTTTTGTTTGATCTTGTGTTCTTGTCTGTCGTCAGCTGCGCTGTGTACTCTTTGTAGTGGAATGGAGGGATAGGAATGAATTAAATACCCAAGTGAGTGGTGTGCATGTGTTTAGGCAGTAGCGGTACGTATATCTGGTCTGCTTGGCTTGTTCAGCTAATGGCCTTTTAAAAACCATTGAAAGGCAGTGGCCTGTCCATTTGCCTGCATGTGTGTTTTATGCAGTGTGAAGAATGAGTGGGGGGGGGCAGAGAACCAAGCTGGTGGTGCAGCAGTGGGAGGGGTGGGAGCATGCTGAGCGCATGTGTTGGGGATGGCGGCTTGATCAGGAGGGGCAAGATGGGATGTGACTGAGAAAGGATTAGTGGCAGAATCCCATGTTCAGTGCCCCTGCTCAAAACTCTGGATAGCTGCTGTGAGCCAAGAGAGTTGTCCGATATGTGCAGACACTCTTGAGCCAGATGCTGCCAGAGCTTGACTTAGCAGGAGACCTGTGTTCCTGTTTCAAAGCAGCCTTTCATTTGCAGCCAGAATCTTCAAAGATGGCCCATAGCACTGGCTTTGCATTCAGGAAATCCTGGATTCAGTGCTTGGTATCTTCAGCTAGGGCTGGAGAAACCTCTGCCTGAAACTCTGGAGAAGCCCTGCCAGCTCCTGGCAATAAGGGTTGGATGGTTGAAAGGTCTGATTTGATAGAAGCCTACATCTTGTATTCCTGTATCAGTTCACCCTGTATTTGGAGTCATGAGGACTCGAACCATGGCCACCTCTTTTAGGGAAGGAAATGTAGACAAAAGCCTGTGCAGCCCCTGCCAGTCTGTGGAATATCACTCAGCTAGGTAGTATCAGGCACTGCCTCCGGATAATTTCCATCTGCATGCTCAGTGTTCTCTTCTCAGTTGTCATCTGTGTTTCCTGACCACAACTCAATAGGATGCAGATACCCAGAAATACCTGTATCATGCAGGTTTTGCCATTCTTCTGGGCTTCTGAGTACACTTGCTGTCTGTCTATTGTCCTTGTCATTTTTGAGCACTCTGAAATGTTTGGGGGCTGCTCCAGAAGCAGCTTGTGTCATCTCATTCTTGGGGGAAAAGTGCCTTGGAGGGGTTCACTGACTCATTGCTCCGGGATCCCCTCTGTCTGGCACCCAGAGTGGGGCAAGTGCTTGGAGCTCAGACTGGAGCTGGAGTTTGGGATCAGAAAGGTGTCTGTAGTTGCAGCTTGGGCCTGGCATCCTCTGGCCATCAGAATAGAGTTGGAAGGGGCCATCAGGTCCAACTGAGTCCTGCTCAGTGCAGGACTCCAAGTTAAACCATCCCTCTCAGTCTTAGTGGCACCCTACAACTGTCGAACATTTTTCCTTTAAGAGGGGGTAGGAAACATCAGTACCAGTATTCCTGTCCAGACTTCTGGGATTCCCCTGCAGGCTGTGCCCGTTTCCCCTTCACTCAGCCAGTAATTGTTGGGTAGTTTCCTGGCTTAGTCTTTAAAAAATGGAGGGAAAACTGCCCTGAGATGGCTCTCTGAAAGCTTTCAGGTTAAAGCAGTGGAGCTTCAAGCTGCAACATGCTGGTGTGTTTCCCATTTTGACTCTGCCCCACACCGTTTACCTGTAGCTCCCACCTCGTAGTGGAAGGTGGCCCTGAGAGCTCCTCTGAAATTGAGAAAATATTACTCAATATGAGGTTGAATGTGCTTTTTAGCTTTATGGCTATCTTCTACCAGCCAGGTGGGATACCTGGAACCCTAACTGAGCAGAAGGTGACTGGGGAGAGGCGGAGGGGCTACCCATTTTGCTCTGCCAAGGATTGCTTGGCAAAGTAGTCATGCCTGCTACGCTTCCGGGAATTGCTGGTCTCATTGCTGACTAAGCACAGTGTATCAATTGCTTGGATGGAGCGCAGGAAGAATTATTTCTGTTTGCCTCTTATTCTCTACTGTGGGAAAGGATTCCCCCTGTTCCTTCCCCCTTTGTGTTTCTTTGCCATTCCTTGAGCTCTTGCCAACGTGTCATCTTTGTGGGTTGTACAACTGTTGAGGATTTCACTGCTGGTGGGTGTGCAGTTTTTTCTGAATAAGGAGGTCACCACATTCAAGTAATCTTAGGTAATGCATTCTGTGAGTTTCATTCGGTGGTTCAGTTAAAATGTGCACATGTGTGTGAGACATTATATAAAGTTACATGAGATTCTCCCCCCACCCAACCAGTGTGCCCTAACACTTGTGAACCAAGACCAATGTGCCACTCTTCCTTGTTTTCCTCTTCCCTCCCCTTCCCTTTTTCCTCATATATTGTGTGTGTTGTAAGTCTGTGGGGACAGGGATTTATTTTATTTCTGTACTGAGCAATTGCAAGCACCTCTAGTAGCCTCTTTTTGGCTGAGGAGTGAAATAAAATATTTCAAATAACATGTAAATGATAAAGTCACAGGGAAAGGCTGTCCTGCAAAGGTGTGTGTGGGGGGGGCACAGGCAGGCTCGGTGCATGTGCAGGGGCTGGTGAGCTGGGGGCTGTCTGCTCAGATTGCTGCACCCCTGCCAAGATGTGCCCAGGGTGCCATTCTGACCTGTCGCTCTCTCATTGTTCACTTGCATTAGGGTCATCATGCTTCTGCACATGGGCTGCTGAAGCTTCTGCCTCTGCCTCGCATCGTCATGACCCCCGGCGACTGCTGCCATCTCCCTGGCTCGCTGTGCGACTGCCCGGGCAGCACTGCCTTGACCAAGTCGGTGGAAGACTCAGACCTCGGGCGCCCCCAGTACATCACCCAAGTCACGGCCAAGGATGGACGGCTGCTCTCCACTGTCATCAAGGCCCTGGGGACACAGAGGTGAGTCCCACCTAGCCCCACCTGTCAGCTGCTTTGGAGGCGGCCAGCCCTGTGGGGGAGTTGCTGGGTCATCCAGTGAGCCAGACCATTTCGGCCCAAAGCATCCTGGCTGAGCAGGCTTTGTGACCTCAAAGGGTTGAGTTTGCTTGGCAGCCCTGTGCGGCAATGTGGATGGGGGACAAGGGAGGTTCCAGCACCCCAAAGGGTCAGGAGCTGCACTGATGCCCTCCTTTAGCTTGGGGCTTGGGAATGGTCTTGGGTTGCTCAGAGGCTCATGAGCCACATGCTTGTAGGAAGGAGACCGGGGGTCATGGGAATCTCCCGAAGACAGGCCACCTGGTGCTTTTTTGACTTGGGACCCCAGAGCCTGAATGCTGGTCTGTGTAGGTTGCTAAGGAGCCTCCCAGTTTCCCGGTGGGACAAGGCCACTTCGGATCCTGCACTTGTTAGCTCCCTCTTTGTGCAGAGAAGGAAGTCTTGTTTGTGTTGTGGCCTTTTCACCTCCTCCAAGCCGGCACTCTCCAGAGCACTGGGCTGCAAGGCAGGATGTGATGCACTTGTTAGGGAAGGGCTTTGGGAGCCCAAAGAGCTTTGCACGCTACTGCATTCAGGGGAGACTGACTGTTGCTGGGCGATGCAACAGAGGCCTCGAGACCATGCTTGGCAGGGTGACCCTTCTGCTCCAGGGGCTGAGCTGGCCCTGGCAGCTTCCGTGATGAACAGTCCCTCCCAGGGAGACTTTCTTAGGCTGGAGGTCACCCCAGTCAGCTTCTCAGGGCAGAGAAAAAGCAGGCCTGTTCCGAGGGGCCAGGGTGCAGCACAACATCCCAAGGAACGCAGCAGGAGCGAATTTGCTCGGTCCAAGCCCAGGATCTGTGCAGCTCTTCAGAATTGTCATACGAGTTAGAAACTGCAAGTTAACCCCTTTTGTCTTGGATTGTGGGCAGGGGCAAGGGGTTCTTTGGTGGAGCCAGGATTCCCTGCAGTTCCCCCATCATGAACCGGCCCGCTGTCCCTGCCAGCCTTTGGTGGCAGTTTGAGCACTGTGTCCCTTGCCTCTTTCCCCTGCAGCGAGGGCCCCATTTGCCGGATCTGCCACGAAGGTGGAAGTGGAGAGGGGCTGCTCTCACCCTGCGACTGCACCGGCACACTGGGGGCCGTCCACAAGACCTGTCTGGAGAGGTGGCTCTCCTCCTCCAACACGAGCTACTGCGAGCTCTGCCACACAGAGTTCGTTGTGGAGCGGCGACCCCGGCCCCTGATAGAGGTGGGTGAGCCACTGGGGGGCAGGAAGCGGGAGGCACTGGTGGCGGCGCCTTGTAAATGGGTCTTCCCTGCCCACGTGGCACCTCCGTGTGCTTCGGCCCACATCTCTCGCTGACCCTGCCTGAGTCCAGAGCACCTGCCGGGCACTGTTTCAGGCGATGCTTCCCTGACTGGGCAACCATAACGGAGAGGCCTCAGCGAAGCAGCTTCAAAGGTGTGCACACCACGGCTGGCTCTGGGGTCCTGTTGGCCCCACTGCCTTGTGGCCACAGGGAGGGACCAGGGCGTGCCTCAGGTGTCCTGCCCTCTGACACTGCCATCTCCCTCTGCTCTCCCACCAGCTTGGGGTTGCACTGGGGGGGCGGGTGGCCATCCAGAGCAAAGCACCCCTTTTGAGACTCCTGTTCCCACATTCTGCTCTTCCTCTTTCTCCGCACCGTGGGTGCAGAACCTGTGTCAGCCTGAAGGCAACCTTCCACCTCGAGGACTCTCTTGGAGAACAGATTTCACTGGTGGGCAAGATGGAAGAAAAGGGTATGGACCCAGAAGACCCCTGTGTTTCTCCTTAGCATGCTCTGACTGCCAGTCACAAAGCCTTAGCCTCAACGTTCCCACCTAGGAGACCACCAAAAGAGGGGTCCAGGCCAGGGAACAGGGTGATTTGGGGAGTGCCCAGGAGCGCTGGATTGGGAACCCAGGCCTGAAATCACCCCCCACTCATGTGGAGGGAAAGAGGAATCCTGTGGGCTTCTGGCCCTTTCTGGCTTGGGGCAAGCTGCGGTCCACCCTACAATTCCCAAGATCTTCACCCCACCTTGAAATGTTTTTCCTGCTCCAAGGGGATGAGGTTGCATTGAGCTGACAAGATGACAGGAGGAGCAGGTGAGAAGAGCAGGGCGGGGCGGGACTGTTTTGCTTGCTCATGTGGCTACTTTGCAGGATTCCTCTTTTCTTTAGATACCGTACGCGGTTATTTCTCAGACTCAGTTGTCGGAGTCTTCCTCTTCCCTCTGCCTTGCAGTGGCTGAAGGACCCCGGGCCACGCAACGAGAAGCGGACCCTCTTCTGCGACATGGTGTGCTTCCTCTTCATCACCCCACTGGCCGCCATCTCGGGCTGGCTGTGCCTCCGTGGGGCCCAGGACCACCTGCAGTTCAACAGCCGCCTGGAGGCCATCGGACTGATTGCCCTGACAATCGCGCTGTTCACAATCTACGTTCTCTGGACTCTGGTGAGCATCCCTCTGGCAGGCCTTTCATGGGCGCTTCTGATGCAGAATGGGCGAGGTGGGAAGCCCTTTTGCTTGCAGCAAGTCCCAGATTCGAGGCACAGTGTCTTCTGATAGGGCCAAGACGGACCCTTGTTTGAACCCCTGGAGAGTGGCTAGCAATCCTTGCTTTGGGATCAGGCAAAGCTCCCAGTGTTTAGAGTAGGTTGTCAGGGTCCATGGCCACCTTCAGCATCAGCACTGGGGAGGGGTGGAAAGTGGAACACCCCCTTTCCTCCCAGCATTATGTGCCCAGTTGCCACAGAGGAGTCCGCCTCTCTAAGCTGCCTTGGACTGGAACTCCCATCAACCTTCCCTATTGGCCAGGGCTGCTGGGAACTGCAGTTGAAAACATCTGGAAGATAACAGGTTGAGGAAGGCTGTATTGCAGAATGTCCTGAAACAGAAAAGCTTATGGAAGCTTTTGTTTTTCCTGGCATTTGCAAGCATTTGCTCTTCTCTTTTTGATCTCTTTGGTGCCTTTCCCTCACACTGGTTCCTTGTGCTACAGAACACACAGTTCTGGTTATTGAATGTTAAGTGAGTCATTCCTGGAAGAGAACTTGAGTTTTGCCATTTCTGAAGAAGAAACATTTGAATTTTGGATTAAAATGACTGTTGAAAAGCAGTGATGGGCAGCTTCAGTGGACTAAAGAGCCTACTTCTATCTCCCCTCTCACCCTGAAACCTGGAAGGGACATTGGAACAGCTCAGTTCCCAGGGCAGGCAGGTGGGTTGTCACCACAGAGGAAGCAGAGGGGTGGTCGGATGGCAAGGAAGGGTCTGGGGGCTGCTGTAGTGGGGTCCAACCTCCGAACTGCAGGGCAGATACCAAATATGACCTCCATGGGATGGTGAAGAGGAAACTGACCTTGGCAGCTCTGGCAGGGTCTGGGGAGCAGCCCTGGTTCGCAAGGAGGTTCCAACATTGGTGCTTCCCTGCCTCCTCACTGCAGGGAACAGGCAGAGTCTGTTGGCTATGTGGCTGGCAGCCTGACACTGCTGCCCCGAGACTGTGGGTCTTGGATCTATGCCTGCCTCCCCAGGTGGCGGGGAGGAGATGCCTCCGCTACCTTGACTTCCGCAGCAGGCACTTGGGCCCCCTGTGGTTGGCACACCCGCGCCCTTTTCCTGGGTCCCTTCCTCATGGCTGCTGCTTGGCTCTGCCTCGTGGCAGCCCCGCCTCGCAGCACTTGCACCGGCTTCCGTCCCCATTGGAGGTGGTGGTGGAGCGTGTACAGATCCCACAGAGAGGGCAGGGTGCTTTTGTCCACCTCAGGCCTAGGGAGCCCATTCCAGCTGGAACAGCAAGCAAGGCCAGATGGATGAGGGGAGCTTATTCCGACAGTCCCGAGCTGCCGCCCTGCAGGACTTTGGCAGCTGGCTGGGGCTGCTGGAGGCAGTGCCCAGCGCATCAGGAGGGCACTGTTCTGGGAGGCCTGCTCTGGAAGGTGCCTCTCCCGATGTCATGTTCCTGACGGCTCTTGCTCCCTCCCTTCTGTGCCCCCCGGCCAGGTGTCATTCCGCTACCATTGCCAGTTGTACTCAGAGTGGCGAAGGACCAATCAGAAAGTCCGCCTGATGATCCCGGACTCAAGGCACCCGCACCCCGTCTCCCACTCCCTGATCTCCGCCAAGCTGCTCAAGAAGAAGGCCGATGAGACGACAGTATGAGCCAGGAGCGGCCCTCCGCAGGGAGGCTGTGTGGGGCGAGCACCATCCTGCCCTCACCTGGCAGGAGATCAGGACAGCACTTTCTTCTTCGGTGGGCGGAGACCCTCCCAGACCACCCGTGTGGCAGAGCGGAGGGCACAGGTGCTCGCATGCCCCATCCGGCCAGAGCGCAGAAGAGGCCGCCCAGCCTGGGCACATGAAAACGAACCAGGGAGGCCGGGTGCCTGAATGTGCCCCTCAGCTGGGCTCCATCTTCCAGACAAATGATAGCAGGCGGGTGGGGGAAGGAACTTCTTCCCCATATCCATATGTCTTATCTCCTGTTGTTATAATTATTGTTGTAATTTTAATTTTGCTCCCCTTCTTAATTTCTGCTTCTAAGTTCAGGTCCCTTAACGTTGCCACAAAAGAGGCAAAGCCAGTTGGCTCGCTGCCATGGCAGTGGCATGTGGCCATCGCACCATGTTCCCTCCATGTTGTGGAGCATGTGCTGTGAAGATGCCCCGCCCCCACGTGGCTTTGGGAGTCTGCGAGTGCTTCCCACTGTTGGCACTGGCCGTGGCTGGTGAGGGAAGCCGAGGATGGGGCACTGCTGCTGCAACACCCTCCCTGGAACGGATGGGCCGCTTGAGAAAGAGCTGAATCCTGCAGCAGCTCTTCTGGCGCATGAGAAGCATCCATCTGTCGTCAGCACCTGGGATGCGTTGGTACTCCCAACAAAGAACTGGAAGGGGTAGGGGAGGTTGCCCCCCTTTTGCACCCCCTCCCAGGGTCTCCCTGTACCCCCTCCCATTTTTTGCACTACATAGGTTGCGGGGGGAGGGCTGGGAGGAGTCTGGCTCCACTTTTTGTTCCCCATTCTTTTTTTCAGTGATGTTGCTCTCCCAGCATTAGAGGATTCTGTGCATTTGAGAATGGATTTAATATACTCATCATCCCAGGAAGAGTAAAAAAAAAAAAAAAAAGCTTATGTTGAACTGGAGGCTTTTTGTTTTGATTTTCAAAAAAATATATTCTGTCACTGCCCGGTAGTTTGGAAGAGCTCCTAGAAAGTGGGTGGTGTTACTCTGCTCTTCCCAGTGTGATGGGAACGCATCCGAGCCCCTTCCTGCCACTGCCTGTCGTTCTGGGGCAGCAGCAGCAGGTGCATGTGCACACACATTGCAGTAGTTGATTGTGCTGGAAATACACAGGAGTGTGGGTGGTGGGTGGTGGGTGGTGGGAGCCCCCCCCCCCCTCGGCCACTGATACCCCTCCTTAAAGCTGAGGCAGGGAGGGATGGTGATGAACTCTTAAGTTGTTGTCTCTCTGGCATGGGAGGAACACTGCCTTCCCAGGAAGCCCTTGTTGGGACTTTGGGGGTGGGGAGAGGTGGCCCCTTTCTATCAGCAACTGCAGCTCAAGAGCTGGGGGCTAGCAAAGTGGCATTTGGTACCCCAGGGACAAAACCAGCCAAACCATTTCTATTTTGCTTGCCTGCCGCTGCTGTTTTCACTCATTTTTTGAGTTGGGCATTAGAATGGGAGGGCCCAGTATTAGAGTCACCACTCTGCAGGCAGATGGTTCCGGGATACAATCCCCTGCGTCTTGAGTTCAGCTGGAAAGACCTTCCTGGTTAAAATGCTGGAGAGCTGTGCTAATCAGGGTGCACATGCAGGGGTGTTAAATAGACCAGTGGTAACACTCAGTAGAAAGCAGGTTTCTGAGTTTTGATATCGGCCAGCCATGTATTCACAGCCATGAGGACTGGGATCTTAATTTTTGGGAGAATGGCTGCAGAACTGTGGAATCGCCTTGAACCCCGTCACTTTTATTGGCGAGATCACCCAGGCTGGTAGCAGTCCTCACAGCCAAGTACAAGCTTTTAGAACATACGCAGAGGGTTTTGTAGGTTCTGAGTCACTTGTACAGAGCAGGGCAGGTGAAGATGAAATAACAAGGACACAGTCAAAAAGAATGTGAGAGCTGCAGAGGGGACTTGATACGTTAGCACTGATTACAGGCGATTCACATAAGGATCACTGAGACACAGGGGTTATTGTGGGCCTTGGCTGTGAGTTTGATCATGGAAATTAAGGTGATTGCAATGCTGCTAAAAAACTTCTCTGTTGTTGTTAGTGCAAGAATAGAGAGTTCTGATCTCTTAAAGGAACAGCAATGTTAAACACTAACAAGGCTTGGAATTCTAGAAAGGAGTGCAAGTTTGATTTTACAACACAAAGGCACATATAAGCAACCTTTTTCTACCAGGAATTATCAATGTCCCAAAACAGTTCAGCCGGGGGAGCTGGAATGTCTTGCTGATCTATGGCACAAAAGTAAAATATGCTAAGGTAAAGGGTTCCCCATGACATTAAAGTCCAGTCATGCCTGACTCTTGAGGGCGGCACTCATCTCTGTTTCCTAGCTGAGGGAGCCAGCGTTTGTCCGCAGACAGTCTCCATGGGCATGTGGCAGGCACGACTTAACACCAAGGTGCATGGAATGCTGTTTACCTTCCCACCGAAGTTGTTCCTTTTCATCTACTTGCATTTATATGCTTCTTCATGGATCACTGCCTTGCCGTGGCGAAGGGGCTTGTGTAGCTCAATGAAGCTATGAGCTATGTGGTGCAGGGGCACCCAAGACAGACTGGTTATAGCAGAGAGCTCTGACAAAATGCGCTCCACTGGAGAAGGAAATGGCAACCCACTCCAGTACCCTTGCCATGAAAACCCCATGGACAGTACCAAAGGGCAAAACGATACGACGCCGGAAGATGAGCCCCTCAGGTCGGAAGGTGTCCAATATGCTACTGGGGAAGAGCAGAGGGCTAGTACTAGTAGCGCCAGAAAGAGTGAAGCGACTGGGTTAAAGCCGAAAGGACATGCAGTTGCGGATGCATCTGGTGGTGAAAGGAGGGTCTGAGGCTGTAAAGACCTATATTCCATAGGCACCTGGAATGTAAGATCCATGAATCAAGGCAAGCTGGACGTGGTCAAACGAGATGACAAGACTGAACATCGACATCTTAGGAATCAGTGAACTAAAACGGAGAGGAATGGGAGAATTTAATTCAGAGGACCATCTACTACTGCAGGCAAGAATCCCTCCGAAGAAATGGAGTAGCCTTCATACTCAATAAAAGAGTAGGAAAAGCAGTACTGGGATACAATATCCAAAATGACAGAATGATCTCCATTCGAATCCAAGGCAAACCAACATCACTGTAGCCCAAGTCTATGCCCCAACCACTGGTGCTGAAGAGGCTGAAGTTGACCGGTTCTGTGAAGGCCTACAACACCTTCCAGAATTAAAACCAAAAAATGATGTCCTTATCATCATGGGGGATTGGAATGCTAAAGTAGGAAGCCAAAAGATAACCGGAATAACAGGCAAGATTGGTCTTGGAGTACAAAATGAATCAGGGCACAGGCTGGAAGAATATTGTCAAGAGAATACGATGGTCATAGCAAACTCTCTCTTCCAACAACCCAAGAGACGACTCTACACATGGACATCAGCAGACGGTCAACACAGAAATCAGATTGACTTTGCTACCAAAGATGGAGAAGCTCTATATAGTCAGTAAAAACAAGGCCAGGAGCTGACTGTGCAGATCATGAGCTTCTCGTTGCAAAATTTAGGCTTAAATTGAAGAAAGTAGGGAAAGGCATTAGGCCACTCAGGTATGACCTAAATCATATCCCTGATGAATATACAGTAGAGGTGACAAATGTTGTTCTTGTTAGTCGAGAAGTCATGTCTGACCCATCGCGACCCCCAGACAGAGTGCCTGAAGAACTATGTACAAGAGGTAGCAACCAAAACCATCCCAAAGAAAAGGAAATGCAAGAAAGCAAAATGGCTGCTTGGGGAAGCTTTACAAATAGCTGAGGAAAGAAGGGAAGTAAAAGGCAAGGGAGTAAGAGAAAGATACAAACAATTGAATGCAGAATTCCAGAGAATAACTAGAATAGATCAGAATGCCTTCTTAAATGAACACTGCAAAGAAATTGAAGAAAACAATAGAATACGGAGGACCAGAGATCTCTTCTGAAAAATTGGAGATATGAAGGGAACCTTTCATGCAAAGATGGGCATGATAAAGGACCAAAATGGCAGGGACCTAACAGAGGCAGAAGAGATTAAGAAGAGGTGGCAAGATTACACAGAAGAACTGTTCAAGAAAGATCTTAACATATCTGATTACCACGATAGGGTGGTCACTGACCTCAAGCCAGACATCCTGGAATGTAAAGTCAAATGGCCCTTAGGAAGTCTGAGCAACAACAAAGCTAGTGGAGGTGACAGTATTCCTGCTGAGCTATTCAAAATCCTAAAAGACGATGCAGTAAAAGTGCTACACTCAATATGCCAGCAAATTTGGAAAACTCAGCAGTGGCCACAGGATTGAAAAAGGTCAGTTTACATTCCAAATCCAAAGAAGGGTAATGCCAAAGATTGTTCAAACTACTACACCATTGTACTCATTTCACATGCCAGCAAAGTTTTGCTCAAAATCCTACAAGCTAGGCTCCAGCAGTATGTGGACCAAGAACTACCAGAAGTACAGGCAGGATTTCGAAGAGGGAGAGGAACTAGAGATCAAATTGCCAACATACGCTGGATCATGGAGAAAGCTAGGGAGTTCCAGAAAAACTTCTGCTTCATTGACTATGCTAAAGTCTTTGATTGTGTGGATCACAACAAATTGTGTGCACAGAACCACTAATTGGTTCAAAATTGAGAAAGGAGTTCTCCTTGTATACTGTCACCCTGCCTATTTAACTTATATGCAGAGCACATCATGAGAAAGGCAGGGCTGGATGAATCACAAATTGGAATTAAGATTGCCAGGAGAAATATCAACAAGCTCGGATATGCAGATGATACGACTCTAATGGCAGAAAGTGAAGAGGAACTAAAGAGCCTCTTGATGCGGGTGAAGGAGGAGAGCGCAAAAGTTGGCTTGAAACTCAACATGAAGCAAACTAAGATCATGACATCTGGTCCTATCACTTCCTGGCAAAGAAGAAGGGGGAGGCAGAGGATGAGGTGGAGTCACTGAAACAGTCCCTGAGCCTAGCTGGACTCCGGGGGATGATGGACGACAGAAGAGCCTGGTGGAATGTTGTCCATGGGGTCATGATGGGTCGGACATGGCTTCGCGACTACCATAGCATAGCATATTTATATGCTTTTGAACTGCAAGGTTGGCAGGAGCTGGGACAGAGTACAGGAGCTCACCCTGTCTGTGGATTCGAACTGTCAACCTTTTGATCAATCAGCCCAGCGGCTCAGCCATTTAACCCACTGTGCCACTGTATCCCTCAAAATATGGTACCAAACAACAAATTGCATGGGAATAATGGTCCAAAGTAACATCTGCAGCAAAGGATAAAAAGAGTGCAAAGAACAAGGCAGGAATCAGAGCTGGCTCCCCTTTTCTCCCCACCTCGTTCTAACTACACCACGTGGTGCCGTGAGTGCATGGCTGCTGAATTCATGGTATGTCATTGTGCCCCTGGCCTTTCTGTAGCTTCTTGGGCCCTCACACGCAGGGGCTTGTCTGAGCCAGTTGGCTCAGCTGTGATTCCGCCTGATCTGCTCACTCCATGGACCTCCTGAGCCTTCATTCCTTATTCTGGGGAGGAGGGGGAGTGCTGTTTCTACCCTGCCTTTTTTCCTCTTGTGAGGAACCTAAGGTGACTTACCCAACTCCTTTTCTTCACAAGAACCCTGTGAAGTAGGCTGGGCTGAAGGAAGTGGTCCAGTGTGTTTCCTGGGAGGGGACTAGAGCTCAGATCTCCTGAGTCCTACATCCAGCACCCTCACCCACACACTGGACATGATTCCAAGTCACTTGATGGCCCTACTTTGTTCTGGCACACCTGTGTGGCATTGACGCATTCTCTGACTGGGGAGTTCCCAGTGGAACAGCCTTCTCTCCCCTCCAGCAATAAAACCAGCCCTTTTGGACTGCAGTCAAGTTTTGACAAACACACACAGCTGCATACAGGCTTAATTTGCAAGTTTGGTGCCATTAATGAACCAGTACAATGACCTGCCCTCCCCAGACCTTACCATATAGCGATTTTGCACATTGACAGTGTTGGGCATCTTGATAGCAGCTGCGAGAATGAACGGATTCGGTAGAGAAGACTTTGAATCTCTGCAGTTTATTGAAAGATCACCCAGGTACCCTCTGCAGAGAATCCATACTCCCAACAGTGCTGTCAGGTGGAGGCCAGACCAACCACCAGCTTTTGGAGCATATGCAGAGTGTTTTATTGATTCTGAAAGCAGCAGGGTAGATGATGACGAAATAAGAACACAGTGAAAGGATTTGAGAGCTCTGCAGAGGGGCTCCATACAATATCATTGATTGCAAGAGACTGTTGCATCAATCAGGAGTCATTGCCGGTCATGCAAATTAGGGTGGTTGCAATGCCAAAAAACTTTTCCAGTGGCCTTATCAGCTGTTGCTGATCAGCAAGATAATAGAGAAGGATTAACTTCCCTGGCAGCTTTGGAGGCTAGATAAGAGTTTCAACCACTTAAAGCCAGGGTCCTCAAACTTTAAACAGGGAGCCAGTTCACTGTCCCTCACACTGTTGTGGGGCTGGACTATAGTTTGAAGATAATATGAATGAATTCCTATGCACATTTTAATTTTAATTAATTTTAAATTAATTTAAAACAATTAAAATTAAAAAATAATTAAAAATGGCTGCTCCGCTCGCTCAGGCTGCAGCAGAAGCCCAAGATGCCGCGCGCCACCCGCCGAAAGGGAGAGCTCGGCACGAGGGGGAGCCGTGAGGGCGGCTCGCCTCGGTAGCAGCCTTCCCTGCGGAGGTCCCCTGGCAGGCGCTCGCCTGGCCCCCGGGAGGGGGGAGGCCGCGGGGAGGGAGGCGAGGGCTGCTTTCCGCAGGCCGAGGCGGGGGGAGGCGAGGGATGGGGCCGCGGCCGGCCGAGCGGGGCGCCTCCCGCCTCTCCCCCCGTGGGGGAAGCAGCATGGCGGCCACTCGACGGTGGTGGCTTGGCCTGAGAAGGCCGTGGCGGAGGCGCCGCTCTGCCTCGGCCCGTCCTCCCCTGGGCTCAGCGAGGCAGCTGCGGCTTGGCCCACAGCCCGGGGACGTGGCTCGCATAGCTAAAAATAGGTTTTAAAAGTTGTATTTTTCTTACCTTCTATCTCCTTTGAGTGTCTTCGTCTCTTCCCTCTGCCCTCCTCTCTTCTGTTTCCCACCCCGTATTCAAAGCCAACACATGCATGCAAGAGGGGGAAGAGCTGGCGCATGTGCAGTTGAATAGAGCTGTTGCAATTTGGCATGTGCACCGGCTCTCTGCTAGTCTCAAGAACGCCTGCGCCGGCTCAGAGCTTTCGGACTTGTTCGGAGATTGTTTTCTCCGTGTGAATCCAAAAGCTATGAGACAGGCCAGGTAAATGACCATGGTGAGCCATAGTTTGAGAACCTATGTCTAAAAGCAGGGGTCCTCAAACTTTTTCAACAGGGGGCCAGTTGAAAGGCGGAGACAGTGACGGGTGCAGGCTGGTGAAGTGGTGGCAGGCATGCGCATGGCAGTGGCTTGCTCACTCAGATGTCCAAGCGAGTCCAAAACCATCTCTGGGCAAGCAAGCTGTCCTCTCGCTGCCCATGCGGTGAGCATGCGGGCATGCAGCAGCAGTGGCAGACATGGGCATGGGGAGTCCAAAACCTCCGAGGCAGGCTAGATAAATGGGCATGACGGGCCACATCTGGCCTGCAGGCCGTAGTTTAAGGACCCATGTCTTAAAGTAACAGCAGTGCTAAACAGTAGCCTGGCTTGGAATTCGGCTGCATTCTGAGAAATGGGCACAAATTTGATTTTATAACACAAAGGCACATATAAGCAACCTTTTTTTTTTACCAGTATTTATCTGAATTTCCCAACAACAGCAACATCAATAGAATCTTGATACCTGAGGGGTATCAGCCAGGCTAGGCTATAGCAGCAAAAAAGACAGCAAAGTCTTGTAGCACCTAAGACTTAACAAAATGATTCAAGCTGCCATAAGTTTGTGGATATGTGTACTTCATGAAATACAAGAAGAATCCATAAAAGATTGTTTTAGAAAGCAATAGAATTACTAAAGAATATGTTTTTAAACGAGTTTATTTGCAATATACTTTTAAAAACATACATATTTTTTTCGACAATAACCCCAATCTTGTTAACCTTGTTGCCAACCTCTAAGCTCCTCCTGGTGCTCCGTGAACTCTGCAAGATACCATAGAGGGCTGCTCATGGATAGAAATGCGTGGACGAAGGGCACCATAAGGGTTTGGCCGAGACTCCATCCGCAGCCCGCAATAGAGCTTTGGTGCATTATTTACTTATTATTTATTTATTTTTATGCCGCCCCATCGCAACAAAGCCTCGGGGTAGCTTACAACAGCAACAAAATTACACAATAAAAATATTAAAACCCGGTGCATCTCGGCTTAAAAAATTTAAAATCCTACAAATAACCAATAAATTAACACTTAAAATAAGTTTTAAATAAAAAGCTCTTATCCCCCTGTACACAGAGACGGAGAGAACGTCCCACTGATTTTTCTGAGTTTCTGGGGGGACAGAACTGCACCCCTTTTTCGATCCATTGCCGGCCTATGAAATAGAAACTGGAGGGCTAGAGTGTCAGCCCTATCCCTAAGGAAGAAAAGCATGCAAACTCAAGCTTCGCGGCTTTTGTGCGCGCTCGCGCTATATGATTCTTCACGCTGTCCTTCCGCTTAGCTTCTGAGGACGGGCCTTACCATAGAGCTAACTGAGGTGCGGAGTGGGCTCGGCCGTGCGGGAACAAGCCTTACCATTTTTGACAGAGGCCGAAGCGAGGCGTCGCATCTAACCTTTCCTATCTCTATGGTTCGCCGCGCCGCGGTTGGGTGGAGGAGGGATCGCAGCTGGGATGGGCGTGGCTCCCTCAGTGGCTGGGAAGGGGACGGTTCAAAAGGCGGGGCCGCAGCCGCGCAGGCGCATGCGTTATTAGTTAAGGGGACGAGGTGTAGAGAGAAGATGGCGGCGGCGGCGGGCGCGGCGGCGGCCCTGGAGAGCAGCGTCGGCATTGCTAAGATGGTGGATGCTGCAACGGGAGGCGGCGTCAGCATGATCCCGGTGGCGCCTGCGGCGAACGGGGCTGGCAACGGCATCGTGGGCGACGGGCTCCCGAAGAGGTGCGCTGGGCTGAGGGAGGATGCGGCGGCGCCGGCGGCGCGCTCTCCTCGAGGCGCGTTCCCGCGGGCCGTCCCGCGCCCGCTGCCCTGAAAGAGCGCCCCCCCCCCCAAGCCCGTTGCGGCGCCTTCTGTTCAGGCGCTCCAAGCCGCTTCCTGGCGCTTCACGCGTCAAATAGGGCCTTCGGCGCGGCCCCTGGGTGCATGGCCTCCGGCGCCGTAGTTGGCTGGCCCTGCTGCCTCGCGGGCCTGTTCCGCGCACCCACCAGTTTCCTTGCCGGATCATCCTGAGCGGGGGAGAGGCCGCGTTCACGAAGTCGCTTACCTATTCATTACGCACATTTTTTCTGTATCCCCTTTGATTAGCTAATTAACGAGTGAGCGCGCCTATTAATAACACACGAGCCATGCTTTCCGTGCTTCTTTCTTTAATTTATAACACGCTTGCTTACTAATATGTCCGTAGTTGATAGCACTCTCTAATTAGCTTTTTTAATTAGTAATACCCGTGTTGGTGGGCTTCTGGGTAATTGGTTCATTTAATAGGCTATTATAGACTAGTTATCAATGTTTTTATCCGTTTCTTGATTCCATTTCATTGACTAGTTCACTTGCTTGCTGTTTAAAGTCAATTACAAACATTAACCACATGATTTATGTGTCTTTTTTTGCTGCATGATTTATGTGCTATATAGTGATTTTTAATTACTAATATTACATCCATTGTTTGCAAGTCTGTTTAATTTACTTACCCAGTTGACTAAGTAACTACCATTAGTACGGTAGTTAACCTCTGTTCCATTAACTAATTTACCTCTGTTCCATTAACTAAATTGCTGATCTATTTTCCATATGAGCTATGGGCCTGTTTCATTAGTTAGTTAGAATCTGCTTTATTAGTGAAATTCATTCTCATTTAATAGTATTAGTTATTAGTCTTTTCTCTTAATGTAATGAAACACAATTTTACTAACTTGCTATTCTATTTCTTAATTATGGGCCTATTTAATATGGTAAATTATATATTTCTAATATTCACTAGCTAGAGCTTTATTGCATTAATATAACATTTCATTTCGTCATGGCAATAATTATTAGCTGCAGATCTCTTGGTTTATATTTACTAAATAATTGCCAATATTTTATCCACAAGTTAATATGCTCTGCTTGCATGCTTCTTTCTGTTCTTCTCCCATGCTGTCATTTTATTTTTGTTTCTTTCCTTATATTTCATCTTCTAATTAATGTGGCTCCTGTTTTATCCTCAAGGTAGCTTAAGTTGAGACTGAATGATTGGCCTGAAGGCCACACAGTGAGTGCATGTGCTTATTTGCACCTGGTTCTCGCTGGTCACTATCTTTGTTCTTAACAACAGCACAATGGCTTCTTTCTATTGGCACTTTCCATTTAGCAGTATAAATTCAACCTTGTAAATAAGCCCACGGAAGTGGGCAGTTTTCTATTGGCCTTCTGGTGGAGGGGCAGAGGAGTTTGTCTTTCATGCAGCAGCCTGCTACATTTCTACCCCTGGTGCAGGAGGGGCTCCCTTTCTCTTGCCACCTGCTTGGTCTCTGTTCTGGGCGCAGAGGAGCATGGGAGTGAATGTTCCCTCCACCCTGCTCAACTTTGCTGCTGCCTTTATTTGCCTGTTTGAGGGTTCCTTGTTTGTGAGAACTAGGTAAGGCATTAATAAGAATTTGGACTAGCTTGTTAATAACGTGGCCTAAAATACTAAGAGTATCTAGAAAGATGAAAAATAAAAACCATTTCTGCAAAAATACAGGGCAAGTATATAAAAGAGTGAATAAAAGGAAAGAAGTGAGGTCGTGCAAGCTGCATTTGGGCACCATTAGGGCAAACAAATGTCCAATAACCCCTCCATGACCAAGCAGAACTGTTCATCAGAGCTTTTTTTCTGTCTAAACATGCATTGGATTGTGCTGATTGGCATTCTAAGAAAAGCCTTGCTGGATCAAATCAAAGGTTCATCTAGTGCAGCAATCCATTCACACAGGACAGAGTAGCTGACCATGTGATTCCTCAAGCAGCATGGGTACAAGAGTCATGCCTGCTTAACCTCCTCAGCAATGGGTGAATGCTGGCATGCAGCCTCAGAGCTGGCTAGTAAGCCATTGATCGCCACCACCTCCATGAGTTTGTCCAATCCTCTTTTTAAAGTTGATGAACTTGGTGGCTGCCTCTACTTCTGCAGCAGTCACTACCATATTTTATGTATTGTATGAAAAAATACTACATTTTTTTTTTCTGTCCTGAATCTCATACCTATCAGCTTCAAAGACCCTGGGTTCTGGTGTTACAGGAGAAGGAGAACAGTGTTTCCCACTCCACTTTGTCCACCTCAGGCAAAATTTTAAACACCTATATTATGTCTCACCTTACTTGCCTTTTTTCTAAGCTAAATTTTCCTAAGCTGTTGTAGCCACTCAGGAGAGCTGCTCCAACGATGATCCTCTGTCCTTTTTCTAACTCAATGTCCTTGCTCGGGTGTCGCAACCAGAACAGTACACAGTGTTCCAAACGTGGTTGTGCCTAAGGCTTTGTGAAAGGGAAATGTGATCCTGGCTTTTCTGTTTCCATTTCCGTTCTTAATTATGCCTAACATGTTTGCCTTTTTCATATCAGCTGGGTACTGGGCCAACATTTTCATAAAAATGTCCATCACCACCCTATGATCCCTTTCCTGGTCAAGTCACTGCTAGCTCAGATCCCATCAGCCTATGTTTGAAGTTGGGATTTTTTTGCCCCAGTATGCATTGCTTTATCCTTACTTGCCGTTTCACACACTCCCTTATAGTTTTGACCACCCTAAATGGTTTGATGTCATCAGCAAAACATACAAATAGGTTGAAAAGCACTGGTCCTAATGCAGAGCTCTAAGACTTCACTGGTTATATCCCTCCATTGGAAGAAATTACTATTGATTATTACTCTGCCTTCTGTTCTGTAACCAATTACTGATCCATAAAAGGACCCCCTCCTTTTTTATTGGATGACTGTTCAGTTTGCTCAGGAGCCATTGATGAGGTACTTTGCCAAAAGTCTTTTGGAAGCCCCAGTAAACAATGTCTACTGGATCACCCTTTCCTACATGCTTACTGACACCCTCAGAACTCAGAAGTAACAGTATGGAGAAGCGTTTTTATTTTAAAATACTTATACTCAGTTTAAAACATCTTTTCAAAGTTCTTTAATTAAAATGTGAATCAGCAGGAAAACTGGAATGTAACAGCAAACAGTCAAAATATGCAAATCGTGTTGCGATGCTCACAAGCCCTGATGGGCATCCTGTGCAGAGTGGGAAGAACAGCAGAGGGAATTGGCATGTCCAGTCTCCTGTCTTGCTTGTTCTGCCTGGGAAGCATTTTTGCCTGTCTGGGAAGCATTCTGTATGATGAGCCTTCTGTATAACTCCTGGTCTCTCCTCTTTTGTCCATGATGGGAGTGCTGGTGGTGGTTGAGGATAATGGCATTGTAGTCCAGCACATGTGGAGGCCTCCACTTTGGGAAAGGCTGGGATTGGGAGTGTTGGGCTAGGACTCCTGAGGCCCAGATTCAGATGTTCCCCTCAGGCAGGGAAGGGGCTTTCAGCCCATTGAGATATCTTTCCCTGTATAGCCTCCCTCCCTGGGTTGCTGTATATAAAGGCTGGAGAGATATTAATGTCGACTGCTTCAAGGTCCCTGGGCAGAAGATAGGAGATAAAAGTAGTAGTTTTGGCTCTGGCTTGCTGTCAGTTGTGAGACCTTAAATGTGCCTCAGGGTTGTGGTAGAAGAGAGAGAAACACCTGTGTTCCTGGGAGGACAGGTGAGGGTGTAAGTGGCAGACTTAGAGTCAGTTGTGCACATGTCCTTGCCACTGACATTGCCAGGGAGGGGGTGTTGCCATCCTCCAGATCCTCTCAGCTGCAGCCAGCCTTGGGGGATGGTGGGAGCTGCACCTCAGCAAGTTCCCGTCCTTGTTATAATGCATTTGGTCAGCACCCCCAAACCCTAAGTTTATAAGGCTCATCATTTAATCTATAGCACTCCTGTGAAGTAGGCTAATATCACCCCAAAGCTCAGGTGAGGGTGAAGCTGCAAAGGTATTGCTTGGCTTAGTTCACCCAGCGAGTTGTTTGGAATGGATTGCCAGTGTGCACAGGGAATGTGATCCTCCTGATGACCAGCATGCAGTGCCTCCTCTGCATTGGGGTGAAGGTCATTTGGGGGCTCAGTGATCATATCTGAGAGCCAGAATGTAGTTGCCTGGAGAGTTTGGGGAGTGTGTGTGAGAGAGATGAAAGATGATGCAGCATATATAAGTGCAGTGGTACCTCGGCTCACAAATGCCTCAGTTCATGACCAAATTGGGTCATGAACAGAAATTTAGGAAAAAAATTTCCTCAGTTCATGAACTCTGCATCGGGTGACGATCGTGGGCCCTGCACTAGCACACCTGTGCCTATCTCCCCCACACAAATGCACCCGTGATTGGGCCCATCTCCCCCCCCCCAGCACACTCACGATCCCGCCCATCTTCCCTGTGATTAAAAAAAATATTTACAGAATGGATTAACCTTATGGGGAAAATTGACTTGGCTCAAAACCAATTTGGGTCGCGACCAGAGTCGTGGAATGAATTAAGTTTGTGAGCCATGATGCCGCTGTACTCGAAACTGGTTTGTGTTGGGGGTGAGAATAATTTGTAACTGCAAGAACTTCGAACAGGTTTGGTAAAGCAGAAGACTTTGAAAAGATGTTTTTTCAGAAAATTAGGTTTAGAGCAGGAATGTGGGATGCCTCAGCCTTGTTTCTTTATGCCTGGTACCAGGAAGGTGTGAAGCTTGGATCCAGGTATATGTGACTGCCTGCAGTCATTCAGTAATTCTGGAATGGCACTTTGCATACCTTCAGTGGCTTTATCTTCTAGGTCTGAGCTCCTTGGCTTTGGGGGTGAATGCTGTTGAATTTGGGCTCTATGATTCCAGCTCCCTTTTCTGTTTGCAGTGAAGGTGAACGGCCAAACCAGAACGAGAAAAGGAAAGAGAAAAACGCCAAGCGAGGAGGGAGTCGCTTTGAACCCTATGCCAGCCCTTCGAAAAGATACCGAGCCTTCATTACCAATATCCCCTTTGATGTGAAGTGGCAGTATCTCAAAGACCTAGTTAAAGAGAAAGGTAAACGGCACTGCGCATGCTTGAGCAGCTTCTGCTGCCCTTCCCTGTAATGGATTGCCTTGTCCAGAAGACAGGAACATGTCTGAGGTGATTCTGGGTAGCTGTAGCAAAGTTGAGCAGCCAAGGCTTTTTGAGGGCCAGCCCTCCTGGCGTTGCATGCTTGCTGCTATGCCCTCGTAGGACGCATCCTGTGTGCTCGGGTGTTTGGCATTGGCTAACAAAGCTTCAGTGTAAAAGAGCCGCTTGGTCTCTTGGAAGAGGCGAGACTTTTATCAAGGGTTTGGTGTGAGACGTTTCTTAAACAAGCAAAACAATGGAAACCCTTCTGAAGCCTTTCTGGACATGTTGTCCAATTACTGTGGAGGGTGGAGAGCAGCCCCCCTTTCTGGTTGATGCAATTTTGCTTTCGTTGTTGTATATCCAGGGCCATTTTAAGAGTGAGCTCACAAGGGAAGATGGATTGCTCAGCGCCTTCCCTCACTTGCCCTGTTTGCCTGGGCAGAGAGGGCACAGCAGCAGGGACCAGCAGGCACCCCTACATAATTCTTGCTTCAACCAAGTCGGTCCTGGGTGTCAAGCCTTGCTTTTTCAAAGATCTGAGCTTTATGCAAATTTAACCATGTCTGTGGCTGCCCAGCCATCGCCTCTTTCCTCGAAACAGCTGGTGCACAACTCAAACCTATAATAACTCTGTTGCTGCAGCAATGAGTCTTGTTGCATATATTTTGGTGGAAACACGTAAAATCTCCATCCTCCCAGTGGGTCTCTCTTGAAATGTATGCACTGGGAAAGACACTTGGTTCATGTGCTTTGAAGCGCAGGGTCCCATGAGTTCCAGTGGCTTAAAGTGACCGGTGATGGCTCACGTGCTCAAGAGCCTGCCGAATGCCCACCCTGTGAGGGGGTATGTGGACCGTTCATCATGAAGTGTGCTAACACTCAACAAAGGTGTGTTGATGGCACCAGCACTCAGCGGAGGATTAATGTACCGCAGGACTGTCCAGCCTGCCTTTCAGCTAGGGTTTCGTTACAATACTAAATCACGAAAGGAGTGTTGCTTTGGGGCGTGACAGTTCTTGACTGACGTCGGGCGTGAAATATTGGTGACTAGGAGCGTCTCTGTGCATAGATGTGTTCACCCCCGCCAGCACTATGTTGAACTGGGTGCCGGGGGGTTTCCGGCCTTTTTCTCCAGCTCATGTGGGCTAACATGACCAGTGTGAGACTTGTTTCCTCGGCTGTTCTGCTCAGCCATTTCTCCCTGCAGGCCCAGCCAGGAGGAAACAGGAGAAATCTTTCTCTCTGCAGAGAGTGTAGTGTCTGTTACGTACAGATGAGCGTGTCCTTGGGGTTTTGTCACTGCAGCTCAGACCTGGGTGACTGGCATTCCTTAAAGCTGCTTTTTTAGCCCCATCCGCCAAAGGATTACTTGAGCAATACGAAGTAAATTACTTTTGACGCAAGTTGCCGCAGAGCTGGGAATGTGTCCCCCCTCCCCAAAATGGTTAGAATTTTGGGTTTTGTACGTAAGAGTTACAGGGCCTGGGATTCAGGCTTGGGAGCAGCGGATAAATTGAGATGCCAATGGCTGTTCCATCATTCAACAATCATGGGATATTGAAAGCTCTTAACGGTGTCTTAAGTATGGGTTAGGAGATTTAAGAGTTGTGGTCTGTTCAGATCTCTCACCTGGTGTGTGTGGATGCCTCTCTGTGAAACGCTTAAAAGGTGGCTCCCCCTCGGTGAAGTCATTTCAGTTTATCATTCGTTGGTGAAACTTAAAGTTACAGGTGTGCAGTATGTTGTTCCTTTTTTACTCAATGGATAGGCCAGGATTCCTGATATTCCTCCCACTGACCCGGTTGAGCTGGTTGAAGATGGGCTTCCACTGTCGAAGTGTTTGACCCGTCAGCACTGACGGGATCACAGAAACCACTGGTGGGCAGCTGGTTGCCCTTGCAGGCATTTCGGCCTGCAGGTCCAATCAGCTGTCGCTGGCCTAGCTGTGATGAGGCATGATAGCAGATTAGGTGGAAAAATCTGGAAGGCCACATATTGTGGGTTTGTGATATCAGCTGTAACCTTGATGTCACAGGTGTGAAGGTAGAAGATAAGAATGTAAGAATAGCTGTGCAGTCCTCTTAGTGAGGAGTTCTGTTCATACACTGGCCAGGTTGCTGAACCGAATAGGATTTTGTTTACTCCACCAAATTTTCTGATTCATGTTTCTTAGGGCAGTGTTTGAGAGTAATAGAATTCAAGAATCTGCAGCACAGTTGTAAGGATTTAAAATGCTCACTTGCCTTTATGGCACAAGCAGTCCTCCTTTCAGAAGAAGCTGGATTGTAGGCTAGGCTGGAATGGGAGTTAGGGCAAACTGCCGGAGCTCTGATGGTGAATTAGTTGACCCCAGCTTGAGTCACAGTTCCGGTCTGTATTGCTGCCTGACTGTCCACTTGTGTCTCGGAAGAGCAGAGGGAGAGCCCTGCTAGGGTAAAGCGAGGGTCTGTCCCACCCAGGCTTGTGCTCCTACCGTCGCTGCCCACAGTATGCCATAGGCAGGCCACGAGTGCCGCAGCCGACCTCTTGCTCATGCCCCCCACCAACTGGTGCTGCTGGCAGGCCTCCAACACTTGAGGGAGCACACAGCCTTCGAGACTAGTAGCCACCAAAAGCCTTCTCTATGTCACATGCCTACTGGGGTTTCCATTCAGTAACAGGCCATCCAGTTCTCCCCCACCCTCATATTCAGTTTGACCTTTTTGCCCTAATGGCATCGTATAGCCTGAAGTACCTGATCCTCCTCATCTTGGAAGCTAAGCAGGATCGGACATGGTTGAAGTCTGGGTGGGTGACTTAAATGTTGTGAACTGCCCAGAGAGCTTTGACTATGGGTCTGATAGAAATGCAATGTTATGATGATGATAAAATGATGATAATTTCATTTCAATAAATTCAGCCATTCTAGGTTTTTGTGGAATTTCTGTTAGCATAAGAGCACCTGGTCTGAGCTGCAGCCGACCCAGGGTCTATTTTGTCCAGCATTCTTTTCACCCGGGGGTCAACTAGCTGCCCTCAGGAGACCCACAAGTAGGACAGGAGTGCAACAGCACCCTCCTACCCAAGTTCCCCAGCAACTGGTGGGCATAACTGTATTGCCTCATCTTGCTTTGAAGCCTTCTCATTTAAACTTCCTTTTTTCTTTAAGTTCGTATTGCATGCAGGCTGAGGATAATTTAAGAAAATACTGTATTTTAGGATTTAATGGGAAGAAGCAGCTAAAGTTTGAAACCCAGATTCATTATCCTTTCTTAGCCCACCCTTTCTCACTGGGTTTGGGGGCTGAAAGGAGAATCCATGAGTTTGCTTCTTGCAAGCAAAGATGTGATAGGCCAGCCTCTAGTCTGGCCACCTCCAGATAATTTGGACTGCAATTCCCAGTCATTGTGGAGGCAGCCAAATGGATGAAGGCTGTAGGAGACAAAGCATGAGTGCAAACTTTTGAAGTAGGTTAGCAGGTAGTACCTTCCACAAAGGGAGTCCTAAAAAGTTTGTGGCAACTTGCTTCAGGTTGCCCTTCACAGCACAGCATGGATGCATTGCTTTCAGACCCTGCTCTTGAGCTGTGTTGGCTATTGAGAGGTTTGATTTCAAGGCTGTGGTCAAAAGAAATGTGCAAAGGATCCATGTCTGTTTTCTATCTCTTGGTCTTCTGCTTGTGCAGAAATCAAGAGGTGGAAATGTCAAGTCTGCTGGGAGGATAACATTCAGGGATGTGTGTTCCACAAACGTATTGCACACCTGTAATGCCAAGTTGAGGTGGATTAGCAAACGTGGAGTGCTCCTGGGCTTTCTAATAAGGCAGAGGCTCAGTATAAGGTTGTTGACGATTGTTCTAAATCCCCCTTGTTTTCTTGGCTTTCTCCCTTGGTCTATGTACCGTCTGGAATCTCATTTGTAGTTGGTGAGGTTACATACGTGGAGCTCTTAATGGACGCTGAAGGAAAGTCAAGGGTAAGTCTTTGAGAGCATTTCTTCCGTGGATTTTTACTACATGACAAAATGTAACTGTTATGGTGGTGTGGAACCAAATGAATCTGGGAAACGTAGCGTGTATGTAGTGGAGTGGTTCTCTCGTTGGTGCTGCCCAGAGCTGCTTGGTGGTGGTGAGGGTGGGGGGAGGAGGGGGAAGGCGGGCTTGGTTGGCCTTGCAGCACCCCCGCTGCCCTCCTTTGGTGCTTGGCTGTTTATGACTGAAGCATGGATCCTTGTGTACTTCTCACTGGTATCTTAATGTCCCAACTTAGCTTAAATGTTTTCTTGTGGCTCTTGTCGCTGACCTTCGTAAGCTCGGTGTGGAAGAGAGATGGCATAAATGTCAGAGTGCCATGGCAGTCTGTGTCTAAATGTAAAAAAATCAAAATAGCCGTTGTTGGCACCAGTGCTTTTCAGCTCAGTGGGAGAATGTCTCAGGGCCTTCCTTGGAGGCCAAGGTTTGGAGTAAGAGTGACTAGGGTTCGATGTCCTAGCGGCAAGTAGGAGCTAGGAGAGTGACACCTCTGAGGGAAGTTGGGAGTCTGTTCTGCATATTGCTACTTCTGCGTCACCCAGGCCATGTGGCAGTAGCTTCCAGAACTCAGGTAAACAACCGTCGTACCATTGTTTTAAACAGCAAAGGTTTAACCTTACAGATTGCAAAGTGTCCTCTTAAATCTCTCTTTAAGGGTGTTCTACATCGAGTTCTCCACTGACTGCAATTTTTTTCTCCCCCCCCCCCCACCCATCTTTGCTCCTCCTGGGCTGACGTGGGATTTCCTTGCCAACAGGGATGCGCGTAAGTACATGCCCCCTCCCCCAGAATCATTGCAAGTACAAAGGGCAGAAGCAGCTGCCTTTGGGGTGACCCTTAGTGACTGACTGGCCTTGTGCGATTTACCCATAGTGTGGTTGAGTTCAAGATGGAGGAGAGCATGAAGAAGGCTGTGGAGGTCCTGAACAAACACAGCCTCAGCGGGAGACCCCTGAAGGTGAAGGAGGTAAGCCAGAAAGGAGGGTGTTTGCATCGGATGGGTTCTCTGTGGCTGCATGTGCATGCCTCTTCCTCCCGCCCTGTTGCCTCACGTCCACAGAGCAACAAAACAGTGCAGGTGCTCTCCTCCCCCTGCTCTCCTCAAAACATGGTCCCAGACCTACTTCCCGTGGAGGTGACCGGACTGAATTCAGATGTGTCCAGGGCAGGTGTGCGAGCTGGGATGCCCTTCAGTATAGAAGCAGTTATTCATTACGTGGGGCAGGGGCGTGCCATGAAGCAGCTGGGCTGGCAACATTTTTAAATCCACGTCCTGCCCTTCCTCCAAGGAACCCATGGCTCTGCACCTGATCCTTTTTCTCCACCTTATCCTTGGAGGAGCTCTGGGAGGCAGGGCAGGTCAGGCTGAGAGATGGTTCCTGGCTTACAGCGAGCTTCATGACTGAGTGGGGACTGGAACCTGGATCCCTCAAGCCCTGGGCCAGCCCTCTGCTGGGTGCCCCAGTTGGACGTTTCTTACACAGGTGATGTGTGTGCTTGTGCAGGCACATGCCCACAGACACATGTGCTGTGCAAGTTTTCTTCTGCATCACGGCTGCAGCCACTCTTGGGAGGGGAAGGCTCTGTGTTCTGCTGCGCAGCTGCCCTTTCATTTTCTCTGGGCCGTCGGGGACTGCAGAGGCAGACACCTGTAACCCTGCAAGTCTGCTCCTCACAGTTGGGACCCAAGAGTCGTCTCTGGCCTTACATTCATTCTGGAGGGTAGCTTAGCACAGGGGCAGTGGATGCAGTGGGTAGTCCAGCAAATTCAGAGGGCACCTGCTGGAGGAAGGCTGCCCTGCAGCTTCACATCGTCTGTTCTAGGGAGCTGAGCCACCCCGCCCCCAGCTTTGCAGAAGAGGAGTTTGGGCCAGTGATGCCAGCAAACCTCTGCCCCAGAGTCTTAACAAGCCCCACCCACCCATGCCCTTATTCCTCTTGTCCTTGCTTTCTAGAGGGGAGCAAGAGGGCCTTGACTTGGGTCACAGCCGCCCTGTCTGCTTTTAGGGGTGGAGGCCCTGGCCTCATCAAGGCTGTGAAAACAGTGTCAGCATGAATGTGACTCAGCCGGTTTCCTGCAGCTCTGGCATGTGAGCGGCTTGAGGGACTGCCCAGCCCCATCCTCTGGATAGACTGCTGAGCTGGAGTGTGATGGTTTTCCTGGTGTGGACCCAGGCCTCTGCACTGTCTGTGGCTGTTTTGTGGGAGCTTGCTTAGCCCATTCCTCCTCTTCCCCTTTAGGATCCTGATGGAGAGCATGTCCGCAGGGCCGTGCAGAAGGCCATGGCAGCGTCTGGAGGAGGGATGGGCATTGGCCCTGGCCCTGGCGGCCCTGGGATGGTTAATATTCCTCCCAGCATCCTCAACAACCCCAACATCCCAAATGAGATCATCCATGCTCTCCAGGCAGGCAGGCTGGGCAGCACTGTCTTTGTGGCCAATGTAAGTTGCATCCATGGCTTTGATTCATATCCTGCCTCCCTACAAATAGCTGGTGCTCCAGGTGGTTTGTCTCTGCTTTCCCTGGCCGTTGCCCATGGGCCAGAAGAGTAGCTCTTTGGCCTGGGAAGAGCAAAGTGTGTATCTGTGGAGGTATTCCAGCATAGCCTTCTCTGGGCTGTTCCTTTCTCTGTGTGTCAGACGACAGCTCTCCAGGTGTGTCATTCCAGTTTATTGGGCAGGTGGCCCTGTTGACCTGGCATGGTGGGAGTTGCAGTTCAGGGCGGTGGGGGACAAGGCCAAGGAAGGCTGGAACAGAGGAAGCAGCTTGGCGGCCAGCCTTAGTTTGTTCAGTTGAAAAAACTGCCTGTGCTGCCAAGTTATGCCATGTTGGCATCTGGTCTCTATACAACATTGCAAGTGATGGTGGTGGTCTTTCATAATTTTGATGAGAGGATATAGGTGAGGATTTTGATTTTGTCCCCTCCCATTTCTGCCACAAAAATAAAAGCAGAGAGGGGCTTATTTAACTGTGGCGGGGGCTGGGATACTCACTTTAGGTTGCATCCTGCCTGTTGACTTTTGGGTACCATGACATTGCATCCAAAGAAGTAAAGAGCAAAATGGTGCTATTAGTAGAGGGCTGGCCCTGTGGGATCAAGGCAGATGTTTTTATTAGGGCTGGTCTGAAATGGCTGCCACATCTGGAGGGTGGCTGGAAGGACTCTTTCTGATGGGTGTCTCTTTCAGTTGGGGCGTGGCGTATCAGTGGAGAGGGCAGTAGCAACCCTTCTCGTATCTCTTGGCCTATGGTGCCTCTGTCCCTGAGCTGCTGGGGCGCCTCCTGCCAGTTTTTGGGTGTTCTGGGGGAAAGCAGTGGCGACCATCAAAGGTTCTGCTAGATCTGACGGAAGGTCCATCCAGCCCAGTGCTCCACACGCATGATGGCAAGCAGCTGCCCACCAATCGCTCAGGCAGGAGGGCCTGCAAGGCTGCCTCCTGCCCAGCTCCTCCGCAGCGGGTGCATGCAGGTGTGCCACCTCTGGTGAGGGAGGGAGCCCGTGGCCAGCAAGGTGAGTAGCTGTGGAGAGCCTCCTCCCTTGTGAATCTGCCCAGTCCTCTTTAAAGATTAATTGGGATGCCATGTTTTATTTGGTTTGGTTCTACTTTGCTGTCAAAACGTCCTGAGACCTCAGTGGTAGATGGTATTAAAAAGTCTTTAATAAAGAAAGCCATCCAGATTGGTGGCCAGCACCACTTCCGGTGGCAGAAAATTCCACAGTTTAACTGTGCTGTGTGAAGAAGGGCTTTCTATCACCTGAAAAGAGTCAAAAGCTGTTTAGTAGTGAACCTTTAAAAAAGAGGAAGAAACCGCATAAGATCTGCTTCCAGGCTACAAAATCTTTTGGCAGTGCTTCCTTCCCGCAGTTGGCTTACCAGGGATCCAGAGCCAGGAGCCTTTCTGCCTGTCTCTGAAAGGGCCCTGTCCCTTTGCATGCGGTGCCTTGTGTAACTGAGTGAGTGTGTCAAGGCCAGGTAACAGACCCCTTCCGAGAGCCCAGAGTGTGCTTGGAGGGCCAGCCTGTTCAGGGGTTAGCCCAAAGGGGTCTTGGAGCTTCTGAGGTCTTCCCACCAGGCTACCGTAACCAAAGGCAGAAGCAAGGAGTAATCTGACCCATTCTGTGACAAAGGCACAGCAATTTCGGGCTTGCCTTAGCAGGAGGGGAGTTGCCGAGGCCAGTCTGGCAGCTTGAGGGGAGTGGCCTGTGCAGGTAGAAACAGCATGAGGCAGCCCATGGCCATGCTGACTGGGAATTGATCTCGTCTGACTTATCAGGAGGGGTCCGGCTTGGGGAAGGCTATTTTAGTAAAGTGCCAGACAGACTCCACAAGGCCTTGGCCTTCTGGGTGGTACAGCATGCCTCTCTTTTCATGCCTGCGCTGGCTCAGGGATGGCATATAAAAGTTTTAAATAAAATAAATATTGTATACTCTGATTTTGGATGGTAGCAAATTACTGCTGGTGAGCTTTGGTTTAGCACGGGCACATCCACGCAACATCCGGGTTCCCAGGTTCTGAGCATGCAGTGCAATGCTGCCAGCCTGGCTGCTTCACCCAGCAGCACTCTTCCGCTGCTGCCTCTCAGGCCTCGTGCTCTCTCCCTGCAGCTCGATTACAAGGTGGGCTGGAAGAAACTCAAGGAGGTCTTCAGCATGGCTGGTGTGGTGGTCCGGGCAGACATCCTGGAGGACAAGGATGGGAAAAGCCGTGGAATCGGCACTGTGACTTTTGAGCAGGCCATCGAAGCTGTTCAAGCCATCTGTATCCTTTTCTTGGAGCTGCCCTGGAAATAAGAGCTGGCTTTGGGTCCGGGACCAGTCCATGTGTCCGGCTGACCCTGGCATGGGTGTTTCAAGTCTAGGTTGCCTTGGAGTGCAGATCCAGCTGCACACAAAACAAACATGGTTTGTTAACCACAAGTGACCAAGAATATTCATGGCTTGTTGCTGGGTTGTGAACCCTGGGTTGTTGAAAACATGGGTGACTGATGCGTGTGCACCCAGAGCCATGCATTGTTTTGCCAGCTTACAGAGTTGACAGGTAACAGTAATACCTACCCCTCCCCCGCCCCAGCCTCTTTGCAGTCTCAAACAACAACTCCATGAGCACATTTGGGGTATTGAGTGTGAGGGAGGGAGGTAAAGAATCAACCCTGAGCCTGAGAAAAGAAGTTGCAGCTTGTTCAGTCATTTGTCAGGCAAATCCTAGGTAGAGCAAAAAAATCCCTGGGTAAATAGATGCCAATAAGATATGTCAGGCAGGCCACTGTTTGTTGGTGCAGTAGTGAAGTTGGTAGCCCACATTTTGATTCCCAGAGCAACTCTCTAGCCTGGCTGAGATCTCAGGCTTACGGGGTCAACCTACTTCCTGCTAGAACCTCTGAGATCTACCAGCTGTACACAAATGCAAAATGTCAGCTGAGGGCATTCAGTAAGTCTGCTTCTGGACTATTGCACACTTTTAAAGAAGTTTCAGTGTGTGCGTTTCAATCAGAAAAGCCTGTTATGCGCAGGTGCTGCTTCCAGTTAAGAAAGAATGCCGGTGCTACTTGTCTTCCTCTCCCACTGCCTGGTGGTGTTAGCTGCTTTGGTCATTCCATTGTTGTTTGCAAGCCAAGAAGCTAGGGCATGAAAATTCTGGGTCCTGGGCTTCGACTGGAAGGAGGGGTGGTGGGTTAAAATAGCGGAGACAAAATGCTGTTGGATGCTTGCAGGAGTGTCTCTTAAGGTTTTTACTGGGCAAATGTTCGCTCCTTGACGTTGAATGCCAGCCATGTTCAACGGGCAGCTGCTTTTCGACCGGCCAATGCATGTGAAGATGGTAAGGAAAAGAATTCGGGCTCGGCTGCCTGCATGCTTTTCTCCCTACCCCAAGTACTGAAAGTGCCATCTGATTTTTCAGGACGAGCGAGCCCTACCAAAAGGGGACTTCTTCCCACCAGAGCGTCCCCAACAGCTTCCCCGTAAGTATCCTTGTGACACCGCAAGCAGGCCAGAGATGGCTGCCTCCCAGGGCAGGGAGCTCTCAAGAGGAGTCGCTTGCATGCTTCCCACTTGCAAGGAAGGTTTTCCATGGATTCCCCCCCACCCCCCACACACAATTTGTTTCCTGTTGAACAATTTCTTGTCTTCCGTGAAAGTGAAACTCTTAAGTACCGCTTTTTCACACCGGGTTCCCTCCAGATGTGTTGCGCTACACTTCTAGAGGGGAGAGAGCGGGCCAAGGTCACCCATTCTCCCGTTGAACTCGTTCTCCTTCAAGGAATTTAGATTCTCCTAGTGCCCAGATGTACCATCCTGTAACTTTTGGGGCTGCAGAAACTGGATCTGTGATGGTCCTTGGGGGAATTGGGGCAGTGGCTGCCCCAACTTCCAGGTAAAGGGCCGGTCCCAGCTTGGAATGCTGGGAATTGCAGTTCTTTTGGAGGGTAGTTTTGGAGGGTGTCAAATGAATGGAAGCCTGGCTCCTTGCCTAGATCTTTCTCCATCCCAGCCCCAAGATGCTTGAATAGATAGTGGCAGCAATTCTTTCCACTTCTCTTCCAGATGGACTCGGAGGCATTGGCATGGGATTGGGACCTGGAGGAATCCCTATTGATGCAAACCACTTGAACAAAGGGCTGGGCATGGGCAACCTGGGTCCAGGAGGTGAGTTTTGATGCAGGGGCTGGGCTGGGCCCTGTGTGTGGGTATTCTCTCCTTCCCCCATCACTGCCACATGTCAGCATCCCGCGCCCAACTCTGTTTGGTGTTGATGGTTGTGCATTTTGTGATTTTGAATGCTTGTAAGATTTGGAGGCACTGTCTGTCCATGAGCAGCAGAGCTGGTGTGGTGGGGATGTGCTGTGCTTTTATTTTGGCTGCAGGCCTTCTTCTCATAGACGTGCATTTTGTGCACCCTCAGGGGAGCCTGCTGACACGCCCAGGTTTTAGCCTGTAGTTCTCTGGGCTAGAACCTTTGCAGCCTGGCAGGTTCTTCTGGACTCCTTCTGCACATGTAGACGTTGTGGGGTGGAAACTGCAAGCCCCTGGAATATGGAGCAGGCCAGAGTAGGTGGAGTGCCATGTTAACCATCTTTATAAAAACTTTTTTATTTTAGTAACAGTAAAGTTTAAAAAAGAGAAAGAAAAAAGAAGAAATAAGAATACAAATAGAATTATAGAGAAACACCAAGGGTTCTTAAACAAATGTTAGATAGAATATCAAGTATTTAAAAAATTGCTGTAAGTCAACAATTACTATCTTTTCTACTCATTCTCATTTTTAAGAAGTTAGTTAAATTTCATTAAAAATTCTTCTAACTTTTTAACAATTGCTCAAATTCTATTCCCTTTATACCTATATTTTCCATTGTTATTCCCATTAAAAAGTTATGTGTAATACAAGACAATTTCCACTTACTGATTTCTTCGACTGGTTATCTTTCTACATTATTAGCTAGTCTTACCATTACTGCATGGTCAACAAACTTATTTTTTCCAGTCTTCAATTATTAAATTTCTTCTGCTTTCCATTTTAAGGCAGTTTTAATTGTATCTGCAATTAGTATCTACTTAAATCGTTCTACTCAACTTACTGTAAAACAAAGCATCAGTACAAGAATTGATATCTAACAATATTTTCAAAAATTCTGTTACATTTGTTATAACTGTCTTTGCCTTAATAGCAAACCATTCATTTAAAAATTAATCTCCAACAGTATTTTCAAATATTCTACTGTGTTCATGTGTAGATTTTTCTTTTATCCCCTTTATAAAGTAAGTTGGTGCATAGCGCAGTTTCCATTTACCATTAAATTCTTTTCCTGGTTTTCTATTTGCAATTAGTCAATTTTGCCATTACTTCATAGGCTACTAGTGGTGGTCAAGTGATAAAGTTAAAAAAGATAAAGAAATACATGTAGAAATACATAAAAATTGAAAATTAATTTTCTCATGACTGCTAAGACTTTGATGCTGAGAAACTCTGCCAAGGAATATGGTAGAGTTACTCAAATATATGATAGCTGTGGCCAGAGTCAAAGTGGAAAGCAGAAAAAAAATGCAGCCATTGACGTGAGGATCTGTGAGGACTGGTGCAGCTGGTTTGCTGTCTGGAGCAAGCTCGTCGGTCCCTCGCTCTCTGTCTTGACTCAGCTGGTGTCCCTGCTTTCCCATTCGTTGTCTGCTGAGAGAGAGCGTTGCTCTTTTTGACGTGGAGTGTAGTTGGTGTAGGGCCAAAGCACTCTTTGGTGCAGAATGTTGCAGAGGAGGTTTCCTCATGCTGAGACTTTCCAAAGGGGACCTGGCAGTATTGTCTCGCCTCCGGTTTCAGAGGTAGGCAGCCTTCAAAGACCGGCTGCTTGGGGAACAATAATAGGTAGACAGAGATGTTGCTTTCCAGGCCTGCTTCTGTGCCTCCCAAAGGGAACAGAATCCTGGGTGACATAGTTCCTTCTGGATGTTTGTCTCTATGGTTGAATGGGATGGTGTAAATTGGTGTCTTGTAGCAGCAGGGGGTTGGCCGCGATGGCCGCTTCGGCCCCTTCCAGCACTATTCTATAATTCTGTGGCTATTGGCCATCGCAGCTTAATGGAAATGCCATGTCCAGAGAGAGGGCCTCTATGTGAACTTGCCTGCCATGGTCCATTGCACAGGGGAAAGAAATGCCTGGGCTTCTGCAAGCTGGATCGAGTTCAGAATGGGATCCTGGACCAGGTGGGCCTTTGCTTGGACCCGCAGGGCTGCCCTCTTAAGCTCTCACTTCTGCTCACACATCTGTCGCATTCCTTTTCAGGAATGGGCATCGAAGGCCTGGGCTTTGGCATGAGCAAGATGGGAGGTAAGTCCTGTCCTCCAAAAGTCCACGTTCCAGCTTCCTATAGTCCTGATACATGATGGCAGTGTGTGAATTGTGGCATCTCTTCCTTGCAGGGATGGAGGGCCCTTTCAGTGGCATGGAGAGCCTGGGCCGTTTTCCTTCTGGGATGAACCTCAGCAGGATGAGCGGTGAGGAGTGGCTGTCAGGACTCCCCACCCTCTTCTAATTAGACATTGCTTGTTAAGGGCTGGGACATGGCTCTTGATGTAACAAGCATTTCAGAGGCTCCAGAACGGGGGGTTGGAGCCATCCAGAGAGGAGAGCACTGTTGCCTCCATGTTCTGCTTGTGGGCTTCACTTTGGAGCATCTCATTGTCCCCTGTTGGAAACAGGTTGCTGGGCTAGACCATTCAGTATGATCTGACCCACTGGAGTGCTTAGTTCTCTGCAGGAAGTTCTCTTTGCTGGCTGTGCTTCTTGTATGCTTTGGGCCTGGCAGCTCATTTCCTTCCTTGCTTCCTTCCAGAAATGGACCGTGCCATTGGAGGTGGATTTGAAAGAGACTTCCCGAGAAATGAAATGGGCATGCCTCGTAGTTTTGGAGAAACTCTGGACAGAGGAATTGGTGAGCTACCCTGTTCCATGTTACTAGAGGTGTTTGGGTCTGGTCTGCTCCTCCCATTCTCCTTGTTCAGCAGAGAGAAGGGAAGTTGTGGCACAGGGACAGCAGAGGTGAGAAAAAGTTGCAGGGGGGCTGGTCTTGGGCCTAGTCACTCCTTCGGGCAGTTTGCAGGCAGCACAAGGGCTGCTGATGACATCTGCGTTTTTTTACTTCTTTGTTTGTTCATTCAATTTGCATGCTGCCCTATTAGCTGTAAGGCTCTCTTGGCCACTTACAACAGATGAGTTCATCAGGATAATAAACCCCACAATGTACAATAAAGCCACCAAGACAGTAAAACCAATAATAATAACCACTAAAATTAAGTAAGACAAATACTAGAAATACAATCAAATAAATATAAAAACATAAGATTTTCAAAAAGGGTAGTAGTAGAAAGGACATGGGGAATTATAGACCGGTTAGCCTTAAGTCCATTGTAGGAAAAACAATGGAAAGGCTCCTAATAGAGAGAGATCTAGTGATGCTAGACAGGGAGGGGAGGCTGGCGGCCACACAACATGGCTTCCGCAAAAACAGGTCCTGCCAGACAAACCTTGTGGAATTCTGTGGCAAGGTTTCGAGATGGCTAGATGGAGGGGATGCAGTGGATGTGGTATACCTGGATTCCAGCAAGGCCTTTGACAAAGTGCCCCATGATATCCTGGTGGAGAAACTGAGGAGGTTTGGGATAGACGAATGCACTGTCCAGTGGATTAGGGCATGGTGGACTGACCGAAAGCAGAGGGTAGCCATTAGTGGGGAATCATCGGGATGGCAGCCAGTGACAAGCAGGGTCCCCCAGGGCTCTGCCCTGGTGCTGATCCTGTTTAATCTTTTCATCAATGACATGGAAGAAGGGGTGAACAGTCTGCTGATCAAATTAGCAGACGATACTAAAACTGGAGCAGTGGCCACAACTGAGGAGCAGGTACTCTGGATCCAAAAGGATCTGGACAGACTATGGAAGTGGGCAGGAGACAACAGGGTGGCGTTCAATGTGGATAAGTGCAAGGTCTTGCACTTGGGGCATAGGAATAGGTGTCATAAGTACAGGTTAGGTGACAAGTGGCTGGAGAGCAGCACTTTTGAAAGGGACCTTGGGGTGCTGGTTGACTGCAGGCTAAACATGAGTCAGCAGTGTGATGCGGTGGTCAAGAGGGCAAACGCCACCCTTGGTTGCGTAGCCAGAAGTGTGGCTTCTAGATCAAGAGAGGTATTACTACCACTCTATACGACTCTGGTGCGCCCGCAACTGGAGTATTGTGCTCAGTTTTGGACCCCTCATTACAGAAAGGATATAGCCAGGTTGGAGTCAGTGCAGCGTAGGGCCACAAGGTTGGCGGCCGGTTTGCAGGGGATGCTGTATGAGGCGAGACTGAGGGAACTGGGTCTCTTCAGCCTGGAGAAGAGGAGACTCAGGGGATCTGTTGGCGACATACAGGTATGTGAGGGGGTGTCACACGGAGGTGGGTAGAGACCTGTTCTCCCCTGCAGAGGAAGGCAATGAAGCAAAGGTCAGGGAGCCAAGGTTCCATTTGGATGCCAGAAAGCACTTCCTGACAGTCAGGACCCCAAGGGTGTGGAATGGGCTTCCATGAGAGGTCGTTGAGGCCCCATCGGTGTGGGTGTTCAAGGATAGGCTGGATGTCCACATGGTGGGCATGTCGTGAGCGGAGCTGGCTGGTGCCGGAGGTTAGACTAGATGGCCCAGGAGGCCCCTTCTGACTCGCTCTGTTTCTATGTTTATGTTTCTAAGATCAGAAATAAAAGGCATGTCATACCAATTAAAATATGATTAATATCAAATATATAGCATGAGTTCATAGAATGGCAGCAACACTAATATAAAACCTTTAAAACCATCATTAAAAATCACAAAAACCCTCTTGCTCTTTCTCCATTCCCAGATGAGAGGAGGACAGGGTGCAGGAGAAGCAGGATAAGGTCCCAGAGTTATCATAGTAAGCACTGAAAAAGAGATTGTGGCGGCTGAGGTTGTAAAATGGAGGGATGGGCAGGGCGAGACCAAAAGTGGAAACTTCTTGGAGCATTGTGTGCTATGCCAGAGTGTGCCATTTGCTTTCTCAGATAGCTGTCTGTCTGAACGGAGCCCACAGGCATTTTCTCCCCAGAATCCCATTTTATTGGGTTGGAACAGGGTGGTGTCTCCTCTCAGCTCAAGTGCAAATTCCTTAAAAATTTCAGAACGCAAGGTTGGGTTTTGTGAACCACACTAAGATGCAGCATTCCAAAAGTGACAAAAGAATTAACTGGTTTGCTTTGCACTTGATTCTGGGACATGCACTACGACCTTTTAAAAATCTTAGCAGATTTACCAAGTGGAGCTTGTGGGGAGGGGAAGCAGAACAGACATTTTAGCTGTGTTGAGCAGACCTCAGCCTGCTCTCCACACCCCAAAGGGTAGAGCAGAGAAGGATGTTTTCAGAGCAGTGGACTTTGTAGTACTGGTGGGGAGGAGCTGGTGGGAATGGTTTGTTCCTCACGGGGACAGCAGACCTGGGAAGGCGATCTTGGCAAGCAGAGCCGATGAGGGTGTGCTGGGAGGGCGTGCATCAGGCTGGGCTTTCCTGGTCCACAGCAAGACTGCATTCTCCTGTCCCTCTCTCCTGCAGGTGGCGGTGGTGGTGCCACCAGCATACCTGCAATCGACAGAATGGCACCTGGGCTTGACCGCATGGCGACCAGCATCGATAGGCTCCCCTCTGGGATGGGCCACGGGATAGACAGAGTGGGCTCAGAGATGGACAGGATGGGGCTCGTGCTGGACCGCATGGGTTCTGGCGTGGACAGGATGGGCTCAGGCATCGACCGCATGGCCCCCCTTGGCATCGACCACCTGGCGTCCAGCATTGATCGGATGGGCTCTGGAATAGACCGGATGGGTGCTGGCCTTGGCTTTGGGATTGACCGCATGGGCTCGGCCATGGACCGTGTTGGCACCACCATGGACAGGATGGGTGCTGGCGTGGACAGGATGGGGCTGGGCATGGTCCCGGCAGGGATGGGCCCCGTGATGGATAGGATGCCAGCTGGGCTGGACCGCATTGGGGCGGCCCCGATTGACAGGATGGGGCTGGACCGCTTGGCTGCCTCCAATGTGGAGAGGATGGGTCTGGACCGCATGGGTGCAGCTGCGACTAGCATGGAGAGGATGGGGCCGGCCATGGGGCAGGGCCTGGGGGCAGGGCTAGACAGGATGGGGTTGGCCCTGGGGAGCTCCTTTGAGCGGTCCATGGAGATGGATCGGGGGAACTTTGCTGCCGGGAGCTTCGCTGGTGCCCTTGGAGCCGGAGGACCTGTTGCTGCCACCACTGCAGGAGTGGCCAGGAAAGCTTGCCAGATCTTCGTGAGAAATGTGAGTGAGGCAGGACGCTTTCCGGGCTCCTGGTCCAAGGAACGTTTCCTCTCCTTCCCCCTTTCCCTGGGACAGCAAGCCCAACTTTTTGGGACTGGGCTGACTTGGTTTTCAAGCAGGGCTTGCAGGCCCAAGCCCCCACAGAATGGCGGGGGGGGGCATAATGGCCTTGTGGGAAAGGTGGGAGCTGAGGCTTGGGAAGTAGTTTGAGAGGGTCTCCCCTTGAAGTAGCTGGCCCCTCTCTTCTACCAGGCTGTCCAAAGACCCTGTGATGAGGTTTGTAGCCAATAAAATGTTCTGGGCTTCTCTTTGTTCTTCTCAGCTTCCCTTTGACTTCACATGGAAAATGCTGAAGGATAAATTCAATGAGTGTGGTGAGTAATTTCAGCAGGGTTTGACTCAAAGAGTATGAGGGGACAGGGTTACGCTCCTTCGAATAGCTTTGCTCCCCACTCTGGATCAGAAGGTTGAGAACTGAGGCACAACTGGCCTCACCTGTTGGCAGAGGGCAGGGGCACTTAGAACTGCCTCTGGAACTTTGCATGGGAGAGCAGTTCCACATGGTAGCTGCCCCCAGAGAAGGGCTGCTTATGTATTGCTAGGTGGTAGCATTCTGTTGACTGCAGAATGACTGGTAACACCTCAGGCAATCTCGGGGGCCAGCTGGGTGTACTGGGGACTTGGGCTAAGTAAGAATTCTTCTGTAGGGCATGTCCTGTATGCAGACATCAAAATGGAAAATGGGAAGTCCAAAGGGTGCGGTGTGGTCCGGTTCGAGTCACCTGAAATCGCTGAGAGAGCTTGTCGCATGATGAATGGCATCCAGCTGCGTGGCAGAGAGATCGACGTGCGGATTGATAGAAATGCTTAAAACATTGCCTTCCTAGATACCAGTGAAATAGAGGGAGCTTGGTTTGTACTTTTTCCTTGTTAAAGACTTTGTTAATTTGCCTGGATGTAAAAATGGTGAGACAATTCTGTTGCTTTCTGGAGTAATCTTAAGTCCTCTTCTAAAAAATTAGTTTTTCCCATTTTACTGCCATGTTTTTTCACTGGAAACTGTTTAACATGCACAGTCTTGGTTCTTTGTGGTGGTGTATCACCCTTGTTGAATTTTAAGATATGTTATCACAGTACGTCTTTGGTAATAAACTTTTACAGTAACTGGTGATTTTGAAACTTCTGCCCATCCCTCACTGTTAAACGATCCCCTTGTGGAAAGAACTATTTGGAAGGAAGAGAGAAAGTAGAATTGATAACTGTATGTTTTTGCCTCTGGAAAGTAGTTTGTTCTGAAATTTTATGAAGTGTTTTGGGAAAATGTACAATTAGAAGTCAGACCAAAATCCACTTGTCTTGTATGAGATCTGTCAATAATAAAAGCATTCTCTTGTGACTTTGTTGCCCTGCGTCCTTATGTGTTATGTGCAGAACTGTTGTTCATGCCAAGCTATTGCCCTTTGCCACCTCTGTTGCATCAAGCACAGGAGTGAAGCCTTCATCCTGGGCTGATGTGAAGGAAGCCTCCTTTAAAGTGGCAGCCCCCAGCCTGCCTTTGATTACTGTGGGAAGCTTTGCAACCTGGTACATGGACTTTGGAGCAGTCTTCCTCACACTGGTGAGTTCACAGTTGGGAATGATAGGAGTTGTAGTCCAGTGCATCTCAAGGGTGCCCATTTGAGGATGGCTACTTGTATTGCTTCTTGTTTATACTGCATCTTTGTCCTGTCATTCAGAAAAGGACTGGCTACTAAAGGGACTTGCATCCATTTCAGAGAGCAAAAGAAATTGTCAAGCTGCGGTCATGCTCATAAGCCACACTGGCAGAATGTTCATGAGAGGGGAGCACATTGGAAAGGGGGAGGGAAAGCATTGCCAGAACAAGGTCTTTGTGAGAACAAGGCTGGTCTTCCCTCGCTTGTGTTCTTGCCTGAATAAGATGCTTATTCCTTAGGGTAATGCTGTCTCAGAACAACATGGGTGGAACATGGTATTGCAGCAACTGGCTTTATGCAGATACTATGTATTTTCTGTTGCAACTGGACCCTGGTCTTAGGTGGAGAGAGTACATGCAACTTCCTGGCCTGGTTCCTCTCTGTTCCCTGTTTTTAACTGGATAAATTTCTGCCAATCATTCAGTGGGATTCCATATCATGTACTGGTGAAAGCATGAGACCTTTGCAAAAGGAATCTGGGAGATAACCAAGAGGTAATACTGATCTGTCTGTAATTGTTCTTGATATAAAGATTAGGTTATAATTAGGTTATATGGTTACCTGAAGGAGTGCTTTCGTCCATATATGCCCGCCCGCCCCCTGAGATCTGCGGGAGAGGCCCTTCTCCGGGAACCCTCCATGAAGGAAATTAGGAGGGTGGGTACTCGGAGGAGGGCTTTCTCTGCAGTGGCGCCCCATCTATGGAATGCGCTCCCCAGAGAGGTCCGCCTGGCGCCGTCGTTACTTGTTTTTCGGCGCCAGGCTAGGACCTTTTTATTCAAACGTCATTTTAACTGTTAATAGAATTTATTTTATTCTTTGGCCAGGGTGACTTATTTTATATTGTTAACTTATTTTATACTGTTAATTTATATTATTTTAATTGATTTATGTTGTGAGCCGCGCCGAGGCTTCGGCGAATGGGGCGGCATAGAAATTTTATAAATAAATAGGGGCACTGAGCATTGCATCAGGTAGGCTGGGTATGGAAGGAACTGATTAGCAAGTGGGCCTCAAGCAAAGCAGTGAAGGGGACTAGGTGTCATGTCCCCACCTCTGGTTTCTCCCAGGAAATGGCTATGTGGGAGCATGCTGCTTCTGTAAGTGGAGGTTTGGCTTCTGCTATGCTAGCTTCTCAAATCTGGGTGTAGCGGCAAGTGTGTCTGAAGAACTCTGGAAACCGTCCTTAAGCTTTGCTCCCAGTGCCGATACTCTAGTTAGCGAAAGTTTCACCTGTTAGGGCTAAGTTGTAAGGAGGCACCTGCCTCTGAGCATGTGCAAAATGCTTCAAGAACACTAGCCATGCTGCCCCTTACAAAAGATGAAGCACTGAATACATGCAAACGCCCCTTCGGACAGAACAAAATAAAGGCAGAGCGCCGTTTCTCTGCGTTCAGAAGAACGCCTTGGGTTCCTCACAAAAGGCTGGATATAAATGCAGTGTAAAATGGTAAAAGAAGCGTGCTTCTGCGCATGCACAAGCTGCCCCAGTGACTGCGTCGTTTTCAAGAAACACCCCCCACAAAGTGCGAAGAACCAGGTCTCATTTTATAGGCTTTTATTTTATTTCATGTCCTCTTTTCCCGCCCCGCGTGCTCGGAAAAGTCCCGGATGTGCAGGCCCGTCGTCGCCATGGCGACCGGGGCGCGTGGGCGTGGTGCAGAACCTCGCGCTGACGCTTGCGAACGACCTGTCGCGGGTTGTGACGTTATTAGGCGGCGGCGACGCCAGCGGAAAGGTCACGCTTGCGCCTCGCCCGCTCTCCCGAGGGGGGCTCTTTTGAAAATGGCGGCGGTCACGCTCTGGGGATGCCGGGTAAGGAATTGGGGGTTGAGCGCTTCGGCTTGACTCGGGGGGAGGACTCTGTCTCCGCGCCAAGACCCCCTCCACTGTGGTCTCTTGAAGGCGAGTAGAGGAGAGAAGGCCCCTGAGCACGTGCAGAGGGCTTCTCCTGTCCCTCCCTCCTTTCCTACCATTCATTTAGCTACCTCGACCGCCGTGGAAAGGAAGAGGAGAAGGAGGTGCGAGACATCTGCCGAGTCGATCTTGAGGGGCTGGGTAAAGCCCCGTGAGAGGGTGTCTTATGCGCCGAAGGATATTTCTCTCCCTTTCTTTTGTGGAATTCGACTTTGGCCCAGAATCAAAGTAGAAGGTGCTGGAGCATGTGCAGAATGACCTCTGTCTTTCCGTTCAGGAATTAGTCCTAGCGAAGAAGAGGGTGCCCGGGTATCCTCCCTCTTTGCACTGGGCAGTTTGACTCTGGTCCTGAGCCAAAGGGGGGGGCACCCTCCCTTCCCACTCAACAGTTACACTCCCAACACCTCTCTGTGCTACCCAGGACAGTAGAGTTGTAGTTCAACACCTCAGGAGCATTCTGGCTTAGCTGGCCTTAGTTATTGATAGTTCTTGCACTCTTAACTTTCCCATGCCCTGGGCAGCATGGCTGGGGAAGAAATGTTCCCCCTTCACAGGTGTAAAGAGTTGAACTCGACAGGTTTTCTCAGCATGTGTTCCCCCTTCCCCCACCATTGGTTTTGGAGTTTTGCCACTGCTGCTTTTGTACCTGAGTAGGTAGCTAAGACGTGTTGCCTGCTCTTGATAAGTTCTTGCTTGGCTTAAACTCCTCCATTTGGATCGTGCTCTTTCTGTATATTGATGTGTGCTTGTGTCCATTGCATTTGGGGGGGAGGGTTGAACTTTTTTCAGCCTGAAGACTAAAATCAGTTCTGAAGACACTCAAGCCACATGCCAGCCTTGTGGTGGGTTAGGCATAAGAAGTAGAATTATAGAATAGAAGAGCTGGAAGGGGCCTGTAAGGCCCTTGAGTCCAGCCCCCTGCTCAGTGCAGGACTCCAGTCAAAGCATCCCTGCCATGTGGCTGCCCAACTGCATCCTGAATGCCTCCAGGGTGGGAGAGCCCACCAGCTTCCCAGGTCATGGGTCCCATTGTTGCATCAGTTTTTCCTGATGTCCAGCCAGAACCAGGTTTCCTACGATGAATGAGAAGAAATCCTCACCCTCCTCTGTGTGACAGCCTTTCAAGTCTTTCAAAACTCTCATATCTCCCCTCAGTCTTCCCTTTTCCAGGCTGAACATGTCCAGCTCTTCCTGTGTCTTCTCATGAGGCTTGGCTTCCAGTCCCCTGATCATCCTTGTCACTTTTCTCTGAATCCCCTGCAGCTTGTCTACATCCTTCTTGGAGGGTGGTACTCAAATGCCCGGCATATTTAAGCCTATCGCTGCTATAAAAGGTGTATCAGCCTTGTCCTTTTTTTCCAGAATAAGGGTGGAGAAACATACTGCAGCAGGTGTAAGGCGCCTAATAATCAATGGGGAGTCAGGGTGGCAGGGAATGGGGTTTGGCTTCCTGGGTAATCCTGGATGACTGCCACATACTGCCTCAGATACTTTTGTACCACTTGGACAGGTTCAGTGGTTCCTCTTGTTATCTGTAGCCATGCTGACTTACACAGTAAAAAATCCATACTTATTATTATTGTAATTATTGTTGTTGTTGTAATTACTATTTTGTTGTATAATACTTTACACTTTTAAATATTTGTGTTATGCAGCTTAATAATATAACAAATAAACACACAGTTCTTGTCCTTCTTACCCTAGAAATGCCTACGAAGCATGTGGCTCGTGTCTGGGCGGTGCTCAGGACCAGTACAGCGTGCCTTCTTTGAGCATCATGCTGGCAGACCTGCCTTAGAGTTGTATCAGGTGCAGTTTATTCAAGAAAACCTTTCCTTGCCTCCCCACTCCTCCATTTCCTTGCCACTATTCTAAACTATCTTACAGTGGCATTTCAGAGGGAGGGGAAAGGGCTGGATGGGCCCCAGGGTGTCTAATATCCTGGCCTCTCAGTGTTTTCCCCTCCCTACTCACTGGATTTCCCTTCCCCAAGGTAAGGTTCTTTAGGTGCCAGCTGCAGGGGAGTTGAGGGGCCCCAGGCAAGGTCTCAGTCTCGAGCTTGGAATGCAGGCTCTGACCTTGAGTCTGGGCTTCTGAAGTATCTTATGCTTCCTGCCCCCAGTGCTATCTAGAGGCCAAAGGATTGTTCTCATCTCACTGTTTTAAAATGCACTGCTTTGTTACATTTATGGTTTGGCTCTTTGTTTCATTATTCTGAGCTTTTGAAAAAGAATTATGTTAATTTCTCTGAGAGATTTTGCTAGACTGGATGGTATTCCAATCTAATCAGCCTCATGGCTCATGGTACTTGCAGCTGCAGGCGCAAGTCTCCCTCTGCTTTCTTGTCTCCCTGGGGTCCCCATAATGGGAGGGGGGCTTTGGGGCATGTTGGCTGGCCAGCGCTGGCTCAGGCGGGGCTCGTGCCTCATTCCGCAGCTCAGCCTATGCCTGGGGGGCCCGTGTCCTCCTCAGGCTCCCAGACCTGGTGTGCCATGCAGCAGCTGGGTGCTTGCTGCCCCCTCGGCTGCCTATCCAGAATTGTCATTGTGGGGGCGGGGGGGGATGCTTGGGGTTGGTGGAGCCAGTGACTGGGCAAGCTGTGTCGTGGTGTTGGCCAGAGCAGCTGGCCATTGAATGCTGCAACCAGGTGGGGAAGCAGAAAGGGGACCAAGATCAGGGCATTGTTGGCGTGTGGGGGCAGCGCCTGTGCAGGAGAGCCTTGGTTCAATCCCTGGCGTCTCCTGGGGAAGAGCCTTTCCTGGAAAACCTGGCTAGTCCATGCAGAAAATACTGTGCTGGAGCACAATCTTAGGCATGCTGGGAGTTGTGAACCAGCTATCCCTCTAAACATACCTATTATTGTGCCTTGAATGGGCTCATAACTAGGTACGGGATGGGTTCTTATTTCCTCTCTTAACCAGGCTTTTGCTTGGAAGCATGGGGGCCGCGACCTCAGCTTTGTTTCTCGGGAGGTGGCGGTTGCTTGGTGGTCGAGCCTGCACGCTACATGTGGACTGCTGTCCTGGCACGTCCAGGCGGAGGCAGGAAAGAACCCTGCCGGACGCCTCAGAGTGTGCCAGGCAGCATCCTGCACGCTGGGCTACATGGGCTGAGGGCCCAGCTTGGCGTCAGGCACCTTCCAGTGCTCCCGTCTCGAAGCTGCTCTGACTTGCAGCCACTCTGTGGTGTTTCAGGTGGGGGTCCTGCCTGGGGACGCCAGGGGCTTGGGACCTTCCAAGCTGCCCGCCAAACAGACACGCTGCCACCCAGCTGCATCCCTTCCTGCTGAAGGCAGTCAGAGTCCTCTGGGTTCTTGGAGAGAGTCTTGGCGCAAATAGGGACATAGGAAGAAGCCTTCCCCTGAGTCAGGCAGCCCATCCAGCTCATTTTCCTCCTTGGTGGTCCTCAGCCACTCTCCAGGGCCTGTCCAAGGGGTCTTTCCTGTTCCTCCTTATCAGTGCTCAGGATTGCTCCCAAGGCATTCCGCATGGAAAGCCTGTGCCCTGCTGGTGTGAAGGAGTGTGTGGAGCCAGAGCCTCTGCTCTCCTGCCGGACAAGCTGTAACAACAGCCTTCTCTTTAGTCTAGAAGTTATTCGTCAGGGGGCCGCAAAGGGTTTATCTCTGGCTTTGTGGAGAACATCAAGCAGGAACTGGCCAAAAACAAAGAGATGAAAGAGAGCATCAAGAAGTTCCGTGATGAGGCAAAGAAGCTGGAAGAGTCGGAGGCCCTGCAGGAAGCAAGGCGGAAATATGTAAGTCTGCCTTCTTTGGCACTGCGGCTGGCATTTCTTCTTCAGATGAGTTGTCTTCTGCTTCCTGGGAGGTGCGGCCCAGGACGTGTGAGAGAACACCATGATTAACAACAACCAGGAGTCTCACAACCTCCTAATCTGGGCATCACGTCAGTCCAACATGATTTGCATATATGTTCACATACAACCCCCATGCTCCCCTGCCAGTGGACACTCTGGCTTTGGGTGATAGGCATTGTATGTGAACAGCTCTGGAAGACCTCTGGATAGGCATTGTATCCAACAGCTTTGGAAGATGGACCTAGGGAGTAAAGAGTTTGAACAACAGAACAGGAAATCCCCAGCTCAGATAGTGGTTGACCATCAACTCCATGAATAGCCTTAGGCATACTGCCCTCTTTAAGCCTCAGCAGAGTCTCTTCTGAAATCAGGTAGGGGGAATGGAATAGGACATCCTGTTTCTGGGTTTCCTGTGGGCAGCTGTTTGGGTGTTGTTTGGAGAATGCTGTACTAGGTGGACTCAGGGTTTGATATGCTTGAGCTGACTTAACTTATGGGTTTGTTGTAAAGAACCAGAGATTACAGTCTGATGTGCTTTGAATGTTCAAAATCAATAGGTGAATGTGTGACACAGCTCTGTTAAAGTTAGGGTAAGCCTTTTAGAGCAGGGAACTGGGTAGAAATACCTTTTATATATTTCTAACATTTTTATGCCGCCCCCATCGCTGAAAGCCTCGGGGCGGCTTACAAGGAAAAATAAACAACCATCAAATAACATTAAAAATTTTGGAGCATCTCAGCAGTAATTTAAAACCAAAAAATTAAAACAGTAATTAACAATTAAAATATCATTTGAATAGAAAGGTCCTAGCCTGGCGCCGAAAAACAAATAATGACGGTGCCAGGCAGACCTCTCTGGGGAGCGCATTCCATAGGTTGGGCACCACCGCAGAGAAGGCCCTCCTCCGGGTACTCACCCTCCTGATATCCTTCATAGAGGGCTCGCGGAGAAGGGCCTTCTCCACCGATCTCAAGGGGTGGGAGGGCATATATGGACGCAAGCGGTCCTTTAGATAGCCAGGACCCAAGCTGTTAAGGGCTTTATAGGTGATAACCAGCACCTTGAATTGGGCCTGGACTTCAATCGGGAGCCAGTGAAGCTGACGGAGAACTGGGGTTATATGAGAACAACGCCCAGTCTCTGTCAGCAACCTGGCAGCTCTGTTTTGCACCAATTGAAGTATCCAGACCATCTTCAAGGGCAGCCCCACAAAGAGCGCGTTACAGAAATCTAATTGGGAAGTTACCAACGTGTGTGTTACAGTCGCCAGGCAGTCGTTCTCCAGGTAGGGACGCAGCTGATGGATCCTTGCAGGTGGAGCATATAACATATGTGGTCCTCATATGCCATGCATCTTTGCCTGCCACAGGTCACAGAGTGACAGCAGTCTTGATTTTTCCATTGTATGCTTTGGTTGCCTTCTTCACCCTTCCCCACTGTAGAAAACCATAGAGTCTGAGACAGTGAAGACCTCCGAAGTCCTCAAAAAGAAATTTGAAGAAATCACTGGCACAGTCAAAGAGGTATGCACTAAATTTTCTGACTTAAGGTGCGAGTCTGTGCACGTGTAAACCAAAAAAGGAGTTGTAGGACTTCTGTGTAAGCGTGCACTGGATTTGCACCTTTAATTGCTGTTTTTGGGCTCTCTGTTTGATGGGTCCATCCAAGACCAAGTCCTGAGGAACTGGTGGGGAACACAGTACCAGAGTTCAATGCCGTATTCCAATTTGCTCCATCCATTTCCTCCCTACTTCTGGTTTTCCATCCCCCTTCCATAGTCACCATCCTGTGGCCAGGGAGCATGTTCAGCTCCCATTGTGGGTTCCTTCCCACTGAGGGCCAGTTGGTCGGTCGGTCTGTCTTAATGTGTGCTTTGGCAAGCCGCAGATTCCCCCTTGAAGCCACCAGATCCTTCTTGCATGATGAGAGGATTCTGCCATTCGGCTTAGAGGATGAGTTTGGAGGCAGTAGTTGCTTCAACCGGGCTCCTCTCCCTTCAGCAACCCTTGGTCTCTTCAGTTGCAGCTATGCTGTTGCTAAAATTTCTCTCTCCTGACTGCTGGTGCTCCTTCTTTCCTCTGGCTGCAGAGCCTGGATGAAGTGGGCAAGAGCGAGCTTGGCCGGAAGATAAGAGAAGGTGTGGAGGAAGCCACCAAGACTGCCAGGCAGTCTGCAGAATCTGTGTCCAAAGGGGGAGAGAAGCTAGGCCAGACTGCAGCATTCAAGGCCATTTCTCAGGTGGGTTTCTAGCAAACTGTCTTCTCTGTAGCAAGGCCCTGCACTTGTGTGTTTCCCTGGACCTTCGCATGCCACACCCCTTCCCCTGACAGTCAAGCATTTCCCAACTTTTGCACATTGTAAACAGTTGAAATTCCTCTTTAGATGCTTGGTTACTAGCAGAAAGAGTCTTAAATTATGTGGGCATTGGCGGCGGGGTGGGTATAACTCTGGACCATTCATTTTGTTTTGGTCCTGGCCCCAGGAACCTCTCTGGAATAGAATTCCTTCCACTGACTGTAAAAGGTCTCCCTTCGCTGATCAACACCGATTGGCAGCTGCCCTGCAAGGACATAAATGAGGTCTTTTCCAGTTCTTGCTGTGGAAGGCAGGGGTTGAACCCACAACCTTCTTGCCTGTATAGCAGGGGCTGCCTCTTGGAGCTGGGATTCTTTCCTAGAAGTGAAGTGAATTTCCAGTCCTCATGGTTCTGCCTGGAGGGATTGATTCCCGTAGGGATGTGGGAGCTGCCGTGTGCCCAGTTGGAGCATTGGCTTCTCTAGCTGAGTCCCGCTGGCTTGGCTTGGCTTGGCAGCACAGCACAGCACAGCAGCAGCTCTCCATGTTTTCAAATGGGGGTCTTTCCCAGTCATAGCTGGAAAAGCCAAAGTCCGAACCAGAGATTCAAAGGCTGAGAAAATCATTTTCCGTAATTCGTCTGGGTGTAGGTATCTAGATCAAACTTGACACCTTCTGTATGCAAAGCAGGACTTGCGCCACTGAGCTGCGCCCCTAGCTCGAGTTGGGTGGGGCTGCGAACTGTCTGAACCTCCTTCACCCACTGGATGGTTTGGACTACAGTGCTGTTTGGAGCTGATGGGGATCGAAGTCCTAAACATTTGATGGGCACCTGGTCTGTAAGACAAAATTTTGAAATGGTCTGCCTAGAAGTGGACCTTAATAGCAAAGAACTCTTGCTTTCATTCCTTGTTCTCGCCTCCAAAAGTTAATCCTTTGGTCACTGAAATAAATGCAGGATGATGATGATGACGACAGAGAGCCCAGGGAGGAATGCAGCTGTGTGTCCACATGCCTGCTGTATGCGCCTGCTGGAACCAGATGGTGCTTTGGCACTGTGACTGTTCTCCACCTGGTTCGGCCGCTCTTTTTTTTTTAAGTAAATTTTATTATTATTTTCTACAACCTAAAAAAAGAAACTAAAAAACATCAATATCAGAAACATCAGGTCAGGCCCCTATTTTATTTATTTTATTTTATTTTATTTTATTTTATTTTATTTTATTTTATTTTATTTTTATAGCAATGCGTAAACATATTCAAGTCTACGCATAGTCCCATTTCTCTAGCCAATAATACAAAGAGTTTCAAGTCTGATAGAAGTATGTATCCTTTTTCTCCTTCAGAGACAAAGTCTGTCTGTCCATTTCAGCAGAATCTTTTTTAAAATCAGCTCATCAGTACGTGGTTCTTCACTCCTCAGTAATTACATGTAGAATCAAATACATTGCTTGTTTATCAACATCGTCAGACACAATGCCTAATAAAAAGACTTCAGGTTTCAATGTTAAAGATTTTTGTAACATTTCCTCAAGCCATTTATGTATTTTAGCCCAATATTTTCGGCTGCTCTGAAGCCCTGTCCTCCATCCCCAGATGAGATTTCTGGCCCTGTGTCCCAAGTTGCCTCAGTAGGAGCTGTGCCAATAGTTAAGCAGAACTCTGGAATATTTTGGCTTGCCTTCCCTGGCTGTGATGCTCATCATGTCAGAAGTGTTCCCCTGTCTGGGCTTCCAGAGAGGAAAACTTGTGCCCCTTTCCAAAGAAAGAATAGGTTCTCTTGAGGGAGGACAGTTTGGAGCAGAAATCCCTCAGCCCAAGCCAGAATGCTGCCATGCTTCCAAGTCTGTCTCACCTGGAAGTGTTTGCTTGGGCTAGCACAGGTTTTCCTCCATGCACAATATCTCTGGGGCTTTCTGCTGATCTCCTCCTCACCCCCAGGGAGTGGAGACTGTTCGGAAGGAGATTGACGAGAGTGTCCTAGGCCAGACAGGGCCCTACAAGCGGCCAGAGAGACTCCGGAAGCGGAGGGAGTTTGCTGGTGAACAGATGAAAGAAGAACGGATATTTGAAGCCAACGAGTGGGTATCAGGCTCCCCTGCAGCTAATCACAGGGAGGAGGCCGCATGATGTGTGTTGCGAGATCTCTGTCGAGGCTGATGAGCTCATGGAGGGCGAGTTGATCGCCACTGGACAGTCACAACAGGCTGTTTTGCAGGACTGGCCCAGATGTTTTGGGTTTGCAACTCCCAGAATCTCCCTGCTGGCATGGCCAGTGGTCGGGAATGCTGAGAGTTGAAGCCCCACTCTCCTGGGGGTCTGCTTTCTGCCACCCCTGCCTGGAGCGAGCAACCCTCAGCCAGGTGAGACAGCCCCCTGAGCTTGTGTGGGGGAGACATTTGGGCGACAGGGGACGGAGCAGGCGAGTGATGCTGGGTTGGGCCTCCAGCATCTTCCGGGGGGGCTGGGAGTGGCTGCCAGTCAGAGTCAGCCAGGCTGAACTGGGTGGACGAGTGCTCTGTCAGCACCCACAGTTCTTCCTTTAAAGTGGCCCTTTTTGCAGGAGGAGGAGGACTGGAAGCGCCCTCTAAATTTATGGCACAGACCCTGGCTTGCACTGCCTGCAAAAGGCCTTGTTTTAACCCTTAAGGATCAGGCGGGGGCCCCCTGCATCCAGTAGGAAGTCCAGAGGCACCTTGGCACAGGCTCGGCAAGACCTGGTTTCCTTTGGGGGTTTTGCACAGCAGCGGCTGCCAGGGTACTCCCAAGTCCTGGATGTACCCGGTTGGCGATGCTGATGAGAGGGAGAGCAGCGGGCCCGGGAAGTCGGCTGTCTAGCAGGTCTTCCTTTTCTTCCAGGGAGGCCATGGGCGTGGTGCTGCACAAAGACTCCAAATGGCACCAGCAGTGGAAGGAGTTCAAGGACAACAACGTGGTCTTCAACCGTAAGTGGGACCTGGGCCGTCCCTTCAGCCCCTGGCTGCCTGCAGAGTGCCCTGGGGGCGTCCCTTGCAAAGAGGCGGTTCCTGATGCACCCTCTGCTCTCCCAGGGTTCTTTGAAATGAAGATGAAATACGATGCGAGTGACAATGCCCTCATCCGGGCCTCACGTGCCGTGACAGACAAAGTGACCGACTTCATTGGTGAGCCCCTTCTCTGTCTGTGGTGGAGCACCCCACGGGGCTGGCTTGCATGTGCCATCTGGGGTTCCCCAGACTGAGCGACCTACCTGAGTGGGTTGTTATGCAGCCAGAGTGGGTTGTCAGATTGCCTATGTTGTTAGCCGTCCAGAGACGCAAGTAATTGGACAGCATACAAATTTTATAAATGAATAAATTTATAAATTTATCTGCAACAGATAAAAGCAAAATTAGGTGTCCCCCAGAAGTGCTTGGGAGGCGCTAATACTGTCTTCTTTGCAACAGGGGTGGGAAGTGCCAGGTCTGCACACTGGATAGGGTCCTCTGCCGTTCCTCATGGGATGACATGCCCTTTTCCCTTCCCCAGCCTCTGCTTCTGAGAGGGCTGGTCTCCCAGCTTTGGTACCTTTCCCCCCTTTTTGAGAGGTTGGGACTTCCCACCCCCAATCTCATTCTCAGTCACTGGCAGCAAGAGTTTTTGGCTACAGTTGGTTCGTGTTGGTGCTTTTGATCCCAGCCCTTTCCCCTTTGGCCACCCAGTGCTAACCCTAAACCCCAAGCAGCAGCTGAGTCCCACAGCCACCTGCCACTGCAGCCCAAAGATCCCGGAGAGAGCCAGGCAATTTGTGAGGTTGAGCTTGCTCAGTGCTGCTTTTTCTAGTGTGTCCATTCTATTCTGATTCCACATTACATTCAGCTGTGGCGCTTTGTTAGTTTCAGCCATGCAAAAACCTGCATTCACTTTTGTGCACATTCTTCAGATGATTCTGTTTGAATATGTTGAGTTTTTGTGCCTGAGGGATAGCCCAGGATGCATTTGTACAACCGCCTTTGGGCAAAGCCAGGGGTAAGGTTGCTGGTATTGTGCACACCTGAAGTTTTTCCCTCAGGTGTGAGACTTTTTAAATTCAATAAACTGGGAATAAACTCTGTTCTGTTGTTAGTTGCAAAGTCGTGTCCAACCCATCACGACCCCATGGGCAACAATCCAGGCCTTCCTGTCCTCCACCATCCCCCGGAGTCCAGTTAAGCTCACACCAACTGCCTCAGTGACTCCATCCAGCCACCTCATCCTCTGCCGTCCCCTTCTTCCTTTGCCCTCAATTGTTCCCAGCATCAGGGTCTTCTCCAGGGAGTCCTTCCTTCTCATTAGGTGGCCAAAGTATTTGAGTTTCATCTTCAGGATCTGGCCTTCTAAAGAGCAGTCAGGGTTGATCTCCTCTAGGCTAGGACTGACCAGTTTGATTAGCTTATGGTCCAAGGGACTCGCAGGAGTCTCCTCCAGCACCACAGTTCAAAGGCCTCTGTTCTTCAGCGCTCAGCCTTCCTTATGGTCCAGCTTTCACAGCCATACATTGCAACTGGGAGAACCATAGCCTTGACTATACGCACTTTTGTTGTCAGGGTGATGTCTCTGCTTTTTAGTATGCTGTCTAGATTAGCCATAGCTTTCCTCCCCAGGAGCAAGGGTCTTTTAATTTCTTGGCTGCAGTCCCTGTCTGCGGTGATCTTGGAGCCCAGGAAAATAAAATCTGTCACTTCCTCCATTTCTTCCCCATCTACAGTGGTACTACGGCTCACGAATGCCTCAGTTCACGACCAAAGTGGGTCGTGAACAGAAATTTCATAAAAATTTTGCTGCAGGTCATGAACTCTGCATTGGGTGACAATTGTGAGCCCACCTTCCTTCCCTGCACAGGCGCAATCACGGTTGTGCTGGGGGGGATGACCATGATCGCACCTGTCTCCCCAGCAAGCATGCCCGCGATCATGCCAGTCTCCCTCCACACCTGAGCACGATTGCGACCATCTCCCCGCCAGCACAATTGCTGGGGGGAGGGGGAGATGGCCACGATCTTTGTTGTTCTTTGTCACTTTGCTTCAAATTTTTGAGAGTTAAAAAAAAAAAAGTTACAGAACGGATTAACCTTATTTACATTGCCCTTTATGGGAAAATTTGACTTGGATCATGACCAATTTCGGTGGCGACCAGAGTCATGGAACGGATTAAGTTCGTGAGCTACAGTACCACTGTATCTGGCAGGAAGTGATAGGACCGAATGCCATTATAGGACCGAATGCCAACATTAGTTTTCTTAATGTTGATTTTCAGTCCAACTTTTGCGCTCTCCTCCTTCACCCGCATCAAGAGGCTCTTTAGTTCCTCTTCACTTTCTGCCATTAGAGTGGTATCATCTGCATATATGAGCTTGTTGATATTTCTCCCAGCAATCTTAATTCCAACTGGTGATTCATCCAGCCCTGCCTTTCTCATGATGTGCTCTGCATATTAGTTAAATAGGCAGGGCCACAGAATACAGCCGTGCTTGAACTCCTTTCCCAATTTTGAACCAATCAGTGGTTCTGTGTCCAGT